GAAGTTGTTACCCAACAGATACCAGTCAGCCAAATGCATTCAAAGACTCTTGGACTATACGGCTTTGACCGTGGTGGTGGTGCCATATGTATGTTTACGTATGAGGCCATTACAAAATTGATATCCTGAAAATCTCTGGTCTAGTGTTCTGTCTCAAAGAACCTCCTCAAAGGGGTCCCTCTAGGTGTCCAATCCCATGACATACATTTATTCACAGATGCTTCCTTCACAGGGTGGGAGGCCCATTGTCAAGGATTAAAGGTGAAGGGTTCATGGACTAAGAAAAAGTCCAGCTTTTACATTAATTTGTTAGAGTTGAGGGCCATCAAACTTCCTCTCACTTCTTTTACAGAGATCACATGTTCTGGTAGCAATAAAGAATGTAACGGCAAAGTTCTACCTGAACAAACAGGGAGGCACAGGATCCCTCCACCTGTGCAGAGAGGCCACACTCATCTGGCAATGGGCAGTAAGACACAGGGTGCAGCTGACAGCTGTTTATATAGCTGGTCTAGACAACACCTTAGCAGACAGCCTGAGCAGAGACGTAAACACAGATCAAGAGTGGTCTGTATCAGAGGACTACCTGGCCCCAGTTTTCAAAGAATGGGGATTCCCGAGGTAGACTTCGTTGCATCAGCAGACAACAAAAAGATGCCATCTTTTTTATGTTTTTCCTACATTTGGAATCCTGGACAGAGTAATTTCAAAGATAACAGCAGATAAGGGATGATTAGCATAATGCGTCTTCCTGGCCCAGAAAAGTATGGTTCCCCATACTGTGGATGCTAGCCAGAGGGTGGTACATAATATTGTCTACAAGGGATGCTCTCCTTAGGCCCTGTTCACCATCTGGAGGTGGGATCATTGTACCTAACAGCATGGTTAATGCTGAAGTAGAAAGATTCTCACAGACTGTGGAGCAGATCATAACAGCCTCTCATAAACTCACAGGACTCAAACTTTGTTCTGTTGCTTCAGACTAACACGGCTACCCACCTTTAAAAAAAAAGATATTTATATGACGTTGAAATAAAGTAGCTGTCCTTAAGAGTTTTATTAGACAGTTAAGCTATTTGTCTCTGCATCTTTCAAATACATTCTGCTACTAATCAGTGAAGGACTTCTGCAGGTGCCAGCTTGCAGATGGGCAAAATCAAAAAGTGGCTGTATGTATGTGTGACAGACTGTGCTTTAAAAGCTCATAAGCACTGTATAAGCATGTGATGAACTGTGAAGGATTAATGCCTCACATTTCCTTTCCCTCCTCTACGTTGAATAAAATATTTTGTTTATTTTTGAACTTTCAAAATCCCCTCATGTGCCATTTTCAGAAGTATAAGTTAAGGAGGTGATCTTGACTCTTCCCTGAAGTCCCTGGGCTGAGTCAGCATCAAACTATAATAATGTAACAGGGTGGGACAGCTATAAACCTTCAAGTAAGAGGAAAATTGACCCAAAAATGTTTTATTCTAGGGGTGTGTGTGGGGATTCCTGTGTTTAGACCCAAAAATGTTTTATTCCAGGTATGGAGGGGGGGGGAGTCCTGTGTTTAGACCCAGAAAACGTTTTATTCCAGGTATGAGAGAGAGAGAGAGAGAGACCATCCCATGGCATTTGGAAAGATCCCCCTTTCCTTTTCTTAAAAGATGGGGGGGGATAAACCTAGCACAGCTTGCATTCCTTATTAGTGAAAGGGAGGAAGAGTACAGCAGCACCTTAATGACTAACAACATTTGTGGTAGGGCATGACCTTTCATGAACCACTGCTCACTTCCTCAGATACAGCTGGAATGTGAGTCCATCTGTCCTTAGATCTTGGAGAGTGAAGTGATTTCAGATGCCAAAAGACAAGAGCAGGCATTGGTAATGAGAGAAGATACCTAGGTCTCAGTTCAGTCCAGGAGTTTGCATTGTCTTGAGTTTCATGCCAATAGCGTACCGGATCCGCTTCAAAATGCTGGTTCTTACCTATAAAGCCCTATATGGCCATGGTCCAGCCTACCTGAGGGACCACCTTCCCCCATATGTTCCCCCAAGAGCATTACGGTCGGGGGGCCAAAATTTGTTGGCCATCCCAGGCCCCAAGGACATCAAATTAGCTGTGACCAGGGCCAGGGCTTTTTCGGTGGCGACTCCTACCTGGTGGAATGAGCTCCCAGGGGAGATCCGGGCCCTGTGAGACCTTATGCAGTTCCACAGGGCCTGCAAGACGGAGCTCTTCCACCAGGCTTTTGAGTAGGAGCCCCATTATACCATCAACGTCACGGGCTCCTGAAGGACACATTGACGAGGCCCTGAGGAAGAACCTGGCAATTGCAAAGAAGATCTTACAGCCGTCGCCATTGGGCACAAACATCATGGGAAGTATCACCTGGAACTGTGTGGATTCCATCTTGGATTCATGACATTAGTATTGATTGAGCACCGTTGTTTTTAAGTGTCAGATGTTTTATTACTATGTATTTTATGTCTTAAGCTTACTATGTATTATATGTTTTTACTATGGCATGGTTAATTACCTTGCCAGTGTTAACCGCCCTGAGCCCATTGGGGAGGGCGGGATATAAATGTGAAAAACTTGAAATTCCTTTGTCAGAGAACTGCTACTCTTAGGTCAGTAACTGAATGTTCTGGAAGTTTAAAATGTTCCCCCACTAGTTTTTGAATGTTATGGTTTCTAGTAGTGATAGAAAGAGTAAGAGTCCAGTAGCACCTTTAAAGACTAACAATATTGTAGTAGGGTATGTGCTTCTGTGAGTCACTGCTCACTTCTTCAGACTTATTTCCATTTATTCTTTGCATCCTCCTGGACGGAATCCTTCTGTACCAAATTGAGACCTAGGTTTCCTGTCTCATTACCAATGTTGATATCTCCACGCCTCTGCATATCACACCAATGCTGATATCTCCACCCCTCTGCATATCACACCTAATCCAATCACGTCTACTATTGCCATTTGGCATCTGAAATCATCTTTATAAAGTTTATATTCCTGGTATCTTGTGTTACATTTTATCGCACACATGGCCCAACAAAGTGATATTTATGTCAGATCTGTCCCTTGTAATAAATGAGTTCGACACCATTCCCATAGGGTGTAATGGAGAATTAATTTGAGGGTATTTGGGGCTCTGGGGAGCTGTTTTTTGAGGCAGAGGCACCAGATTTGCAACATAGCTGCTGGTGCCTCTTTTCAGCCCTCCTCCAAGTTTTAAAAAGATTGGACCAGGGGGTCCAATTCTGTGGGCCTCCAAAGAAAGTGCCCCCATTCTCCATTGAAACCAATGGAGGAAAAAAAAGGCATTTAAAGAGACTGCAAGCAGAAACCAAGGCGGAAAAAACACTGAACCTAATAATGAACTCCAAAACCAAGCAAAGGTTAGTGAAAAGGAGGGCCAATATTAAAACCTTTCCATAAAAGATAAAAAGAGGTACATGTATTTATTAATAATAATAACAAATTTTAAAACATATATAGAGGCCCATTTACAACCAATGTATATAAAATATAACAATATCAAGAGCTTACAAAGTTGACCTTACGCGTTTCGGCCAAATAGGCCTTCCTCAGAGGTCATACATATGTGGCAAGATGGTTAATAATTATTTTCACATAAACACAATCAGAAATATATACAAAGTATAGATTCAATGAGGACCATAAAGTAAATTGTTCAAAAGTAAAATCACCAGGCACAAGGTAAATATGCACATAAGACCTTTAAAGTGCAATCACTAGCCCAGTGATTATAAACTTGTGGTCCAAAAATTTCCTTCTTTGATTGTGTTGCCACAGCATTCATAAGTAAAAAGCAGTGTCTGCTTTTATTTGGGCACGACTAGAAGGCATTTAAAGAGGCTGCAGTCTCTTTAAATGCCTTCTAGCCGTGCCCAAATAAAAGCCAAGTAATATCGGCTTTTATTCGGGTGCAGCTATTTCAGTAGCCGAATCAGATTCTCCAATCTGTATTCTGCTGAATAAATACTGGAAAAATACCGATAAGGTATTTTTCAGGTATTTATTTAGCTCGGTGTATATTGAGTGCTCACCCCTACTTCACACCCCTATTGGCTTTCCAAAAATTATGCAAAACTGAATTATTCAACAGGGCATTTTTACACGGGTAACAGGGCTGTACTACAACAATATGGTTCTGAAAGATGCTTGGGTAAGGAGTTTGGGACTATGTTCTACTGTGTTTAGTTCTCTTCTGATGCTGTATGTTATTTTTAGCATAATTTAACATGTCATGTTAATACTTATGCTTTGCATCTGTTCTGTTTCAGATTTCTGGATGGTTCTAGATTTTTTAATCCAAGTCATATTGCACTGTTTGTTGGTTGTCCCATTCTGTTGATTGTACTGGCTTATCTGCTTTGAGTCCCAGTGAGAAAGTCAGCCTATAAATAACATAATTAAAAAAAATAGAGAATCAAACAAATTATCTCATTTCTCCAGCTTTCCAATACATTCTGTTGTTAACCAGTAGATTATTGGGTAGAATTTGTTAAGTTTAATTGCAGCATGGTGTATTGTAGAAATAACATGAACTTGTATGTGGTTGTTTGTGTCTAGGTTTGTAAATATGCAGTTTTGAATCAGTTGTCAATATTGTAAAATTGCTGCTAATGGGTGGTAACAAAGCACCTTTAATATGACCCCAATGTCTTCCCATGTGTCTTTCTTACTGAGATCCTACTCTACATTTTCTATACAAAGTATCTTTTCAGGTTAGATCTGTTTTTAACTTCTGTTTCCGGCTTAAAAACATTCAGAGCAACACAAAACAGATGCAGAGCTTAACATTTTACGTGTATTTAAAGCAATGGTTCTTTAATCATATGATGAGTAGCACAGTAAGCATTTTCATAGTATTTTGCTGCACTGCAAACTTATGGCTAAGGTAGAGATCTGGACTTTGTCCATGACTGAGTCAGAAGTTTCCTCTGCTAAATCCACTTTTTTGTTTCATTTACTTTTTTTTTTTAATTTCAGCAATCCCAAAGCTACCAGTCAGAGAGTAAATAAGAAAGTCAACAATGATGCATCACTGAGAATTCAAAATCTGTCTATTTTGGTGAGGCAGATTAAATCATACTATCAGGTAAGTGATTGCATTCTCTCCCATTTTTAACACTAAACATTAAAAATCATGTTAACATTAAAAATTATTTTCAGTTAAAATTGTCTACAATGGCTAATTTGAGAATTCTTTGAGATACAGACTGTATTTGAATATCACAAGGAGAGCCATCTTGAGTTAGGTGTATTCTCATGCTTCTACACCTACTTCCCAGTGTAATCCTGCTTTAGTTTGTGGGCAATAGACAAGTTCCACTTTTGTTAAATGTTTGTGTTGAACATCACAACAAATTAAGAATAGATCCAGTATTTCACGCAGATATTATTAAATCTCCATCCTGCACATGAATGGAGTGAGTGAGTGAGTGAGTGAACACGAGAATAAACCTGGTTTGATATTATCAAGGAAGAAAGTCCAGTTTGTTCCAAGTCCTTTTAAAACAGGCGTAATGTGGCGTATGATTTGTCTTTTAATTATATATTAGAGGGGGCTGAAGATATTTGAATATTGTGCAACTAAACTTTATTATGATGTGTCCATATTATGGATTATTGCTAATCTATATTATGTGTCTATTTGGCCATCTAAAAGGACAATGATTAGACACGAGGAAAAAACTACTTAGAGTGACTAATGATTGATTATAAGTGTGAGCAAGATTTTACACTGAATTGTTAAATCATTGGCAGTTGACCACGTCTTCTCTCAATCACCACATTTCTGCAGATTTCTCCTTCCAGGCCTAATTTTTGTTGCAATTAAATGTTATCTTGGACTAATCAAGGTTTGCATTTAATTTACATTTGATGCTGGTGGAAGGGAGGAGGGTGCATGTGGTTCTGTGGCCCACGCTCACTTGTGATTGTTTAACGGAGATTGATCAATTAATTGTCAGTATTATATTTGTACTACCATCTCCTACTCTCTTCCCTTTGTCTTTCTGTCTTTTGAAGTGACAGGTGAGACAGCAGCAGTTTTTAGGCATGTAATTTAATATCAGCATGAAGTGGATTCAAAATCAGTTTGTGCTGTGTACACACTTATCTTTCTTTTCAAAATACTATAGCGGTGTTTGGTCCTCTAATCATCTTTGGGTTTGTCTAAATTATAGCTTGTTCCTTATTTTTTCGTATGATACTTTTCATGTGCATATACTGCCTTTGTTCGAAAGATTCCAGGGTAATGTGTAATATTTCTCTCTTGTCTGTGTAATACATTTTTACCTCCCTCTGTGATGAAATGACACCTCATCCAAGTATCTCTAAGATACGCAACTGCTGTGTAATGTAAAACTAAAACTACCCTGAATGTAAGATATCCCCCCCCAATGTTACACACAAAGTGTGTGTGTGTTTGTTTGTGTGTGTTTTAAGTACTGGACATAACCAAATTTATACACATTTAATACTCTCTTTTCGGATAACATACCTAGAAAAAAGTTTAGTTTTGCATTTTAGTAAATAGAATCTTAGAATCACACTGAGTTGGGCCATACAGGCCATCTAGTCCAACCCCCTGCTCAGTGCAGGATCGTTGAGCATCCCTGACAAGTGTTTGTCCAGCAATTGCTTAAAGACTGCCAGTGAGGAGGAGCTCACTACCTCCCTAGGCAGCTGATTCCATTGTTGCACAACTCTTAACTGTGAAAAAGTTTTTCCAGCCGATACCTTCCTGCCCTTAATTTAAACCCATTATTGCAAGTCCTATCCTCTGCTACCAACAGGAACAGCTCCCTGTCTTCCTCTAAGTGACAGCCGTTCAAATACTTAAAGAGAGCAATCAGGTCCCCCTGTGACCTGGCACCAGTAAGAAAGGCTGCCCCATCTTTTCAGCATCAGAGATATTTGATTTTAGGAAGAGAAGAATGTGTTTAATCCTATTTGCTTTTTCCATGCTCAGATGCTGTACTATTGTGTGGTTGAGTTGTACCTTCTCACTCCTGTATCTATGGTCATTTATATACTTAAAAGACAAAATTCTTTTTCTTTGAAATTGGAGTCATTTGGCCTGTGCACCCACAAAAAGCCTTCTGCCTTGATTCATTCTTATCAAGGAAAAAGAGCACTTGCATAGTTGGGAATATCTCTACCAAATAAAATTTCCAAGTTTTTGTACCTTCTGCCCATGAAGGCTAAAACAGGGAGGTTGGACTGATTTTTGAAGAGAGGTTCAGGCTGTCAAGCTGCTGCATCTCTGTTTGTAGCTTGCGGTGGTAGTTTAGAGAGAACAGATAAAAGAGATAGGTTGGGATTGAGGTCTAGCAGACTGAAACCAGTGCCAGCAGAGTATAGTGTCAGCCGTACACAATACAGTTTCACTAGGGTTGAAGGGAATGCTGGAATAAGCAACAGCATTATTCTCATTCTTTATTCAGTCTTCATTCAATTCTATAATCTTCCCTGCCTCACACTGTATAGGTGGATTATGTTATTACTTATTCCTTTATCTGAGACTATTCACCATTAAATCAGTGGCCCCAAAACATGGTTTATCCATGATTTGTCTTGGAGGACACTTTTAATTTTGTGTGTATTACACTGCTGAGAGGTGTGATGGTATATTTATTTCAGTTAGTTCTGATGAAGTAGGGATGGGCATGGACCTAAAAAATTTGGTTTGGGGTGGTCCCCGAACTGAACCCCAACCTGAGCCAAAAGGCCCCCACCCAAACCAAGAAAGGGGTGGGGGGATTGCCCAGGAAGACTTACATGTCTGGTATCCGTTTAACATATCCCTTTCACTTCCCCTCATTTTGAGGGGGGAGTGAAGCTGACAGGTTTAATCGCTTACAGCCATTTCAACCTAACAGCAGGGCAGGAGCACCCATCAGCTGTTAGGATTTAATGGCTGGCAGCCATTTAAACCTAACAGCTGATGGGTCCACCCACCCCGCTTTTAGGTTGAAATGGTTGGCAGCCATTTCACCCATCTGCTAGCAGCCATTTCACCTGTGGACCTGCACCGCTCAGCTGTTATGTTTAAATGGCCCTGAACAGCTGACCCAAACAAAAGTTCGGTAAATGTTTGGGGAAGGCATCTTCCCCAAGCATTGGTTCAGGGTCTCCGAACTGGCCCAAGTTCGTGCCGAATTTTGGCTCATGAGCTGGTTTGTGCCCATCCCTAGTATTCAGTGTAGAATTGCTTCTGAGAAAGTGGTACTGCTATGATACAGGATCTGATCAGCAAACAGTTTCCCTTAGCCTCCAAGTAAACTTTACTAAAAGGCATAGTTAGCAGACTCTGAGCACTTTTTACTGTTCTGTGCCTTCCCTGCACCCCTAGTGGCTGCAGTCAGAACTGCATTAGCAGCATGATGCTGGCTTCAGGTGCCCTCCCGCTGACTTGGGTCCCCTGAATTTTGTTCCCTCAGTCCCTCTCTCTTGGCATCACTTTTCTTTGTCCCACCAGCTCCCACTCACCTCCAACCCACTTTTCAGTGGTTGAACCACTCCAGTTCTTCACCTGAAGACAAGTGGTTTAGTTTACATTAAAAAGGCACTATAATATCAGTATATTGATATACTATTACAGTGATAGGCTTAGCAGATCCTCTGAGTTCCCAGCTTTCATTGAAAGAGTAAGGCTCTATTCCCTTGCCTTGTTGATATATGCTTTTTTCCTTATATCTTCATGAGGGAAGGGGCTAAAGAATTACTTTTCCAAAATAAATGAAAGCTGGGAATTCAGAGAATTGGGTAAACCTATCATTACAATGGTATATAAATATCAGCACATGCAAAAATAAAGACAGGGCGTTCTTTGACAACACCAATGATGACAGCACCCTCCCCTGGAAATCCTGATTATGTGGGAAAAAATAAAATGACTTCATAATTGTGAAAGTGCAGGGGGAGGGCAGAAATGCGGAGGAACTGTGACCAAACCGATTCCAATGCTTATGGATTGACTGCCCAGAAAATCAGGAGTCAGTTAAGCATGCAAAAAATTCTTTGTTCAAGGGGCTACCAATCATAATCACCTATGTCTGATATTAATTTCCATTGGTTTACTTTCATCTGGCCCAGAATGTTGCTCTTGGAATGCTGATATGGTGCCCCTAGTTTTAAGGTTATGGCCTTCAGTTGCTTCATATCTCATCATCTGAATGGTGCCTGGTTGTAGATAGCTGAGCTGTAGACTCCTGAATCAGTTCCAGTAACCATTGCACAATCATAAATGAGTGATGACACCCAGGCTGCTTCCTCATGAAGATTATGTCCTTGTGGAGCTCTCACAGTCACAACAGCAATGGAGCATCTGCATGGGGGAGATTGTGTTTTTCTTCATTCTCCCCTTGTTCCTGTCATTATGCTTCTCCCTGCTGATGAAGAGCTTTTTGACTTTACAAAATGATATTCATTCCATCACTATAGTGGCAGATTTCTATAGAGATATAACTACTTCTTAAAAAAAAAACCTAGGGCTGCTGTCCTTCCAACTGCCCCCCCACTCTCTCCTCATCCACTCTGCTGGAATGCCACAATTTTTCTTCTTTCACTCCCTGAGGCATTGGGAGTCAGGCAGGGACCTGGGGAGGCAAGGCCAGGCAAGCTTCCACCTGTCCAGCACCAGTAAACCTAGGGGGAAAGTCCTCCATTAGCAGGGGTGGGGGAAATGACAGGCATGAGGGGAGAACAAGAAAATGGCATCTATGTTGGAGGGGAGGTCAAAAAATCCACAGCTCCTCATCCATACAGTGAACAAACCTGCTTTGCATGCAGTCTTTCAGGTTTTATAAAACATGTGGTAAGGCAGGAGAAAACCTGGAAGGGGGTGACTGCACAACAATGGAGGCCCAGGTAGCAGCCACTGCCAAGTCGGCATTTTACCATCTTCGGCTGGTGCGGCAGTTGGTCCCCTTCCTTGACTGGGATGACCTAGCCACAGTGATCCATGCGACGGTTACCTCGAGGCTAGACTACTGTAACGCTCTCTACATGGGGCTGCCTTTGTCGCAAATTCAGAAGCTGCAACTAGTGCAGAATGCTGCAGCCCGGCTATTGATGGATCTTCCTAGACGAGATCACATCCAGCCTGTGCTGAAAGCGCTGCACTGGTTGCCAGTACCTTACCAGGTTCGCTTCAAAGTGCTGGTCATTACCTTTAAAGCCCTATATGGCCAGGGACCAGCCTACCTAAGGGACCGCCTTGCCCCACATGTTCCCCCAAGGGCACTACGGTCGGGGAAACAACATCTACTGGATGTTCCAGGCCCCCGTTCTATCAGACTTACCATGACCAGGAATAGGGCGTTCTCGGTGGCGGCTCCTATCTGGTGGAACAAGCTCCCAGAGGAGATCAGGGCTCTGCGGGACCTAGCACAGTTCCGCAGGGCCTGCAAGACGGAGCTCTTCCGCCAGGCTTTTGAATAGGAGCCGCAACCACTAGTGTACTACCATCGCACTAGTTTACCATCTACCCCCATATATGGACATCAGGACGGGGGCACGTACACCTAGGCCTCATAATCGCTGCACTATGGGTGAGAACGGGACGGTTAGGGGGTGGCCATCTTGCTTTTAGAAATTGTAATTTGGAGATTGGAAATTAGCTGAGAGAAGCACCAAAATCTGTTTTAATGGGGTTGTAATTTAATATTTTGTACTGTTTTACTGTTTTATTCGGCAATATGCCCTGTAAGCCGCCCTGAGCCTTCGGGGAGGGCGGGATAGAAATATGAATAATAAATAATAAATAAATAAATAAATGTTGAGAAAGCCAGACTCTCCAACTGGTGGGAGGCCTGGGGGGGACTTTTATTGCCACACTGTGGCTTCATATAGTGTGGCATATGCTTTTCTCACAGTTGTGACACTTCTGAGGGATGAATGGTAGCTGTTAGTTGGTGTAGCCATTTCCCCTCTGCATGGCATTGGTAATAGCACAATTTTGCTTCTTTTTCTTCAGTAATAAAATACCTAGGCAGCATCTTTCAACCTATTCAAAGTAGGTTGGTCTAGACAGATTGTCCCGAGAAAGATGTAGTAAGTACAGAGGTCATTTCGGGGGGGATCGCGGGGGATCGCAGTTCCCCCGGGTGAGGTACGGGGGGCTGGGCACATGACAAAGCCCCGCCCCCAGCTTCCGGCCGCCCCGCTTCCGGCCCTCATTCAGCCAGGAGGAGGCAGGAGAAGAGGGAGGGTAAGTTGCTTCCTCCCTGCCTCTCCCCACCCCTGCCTGCCTGGGGCCAGGGAGGGCCTTCGTGGGGCTTCCTTGCACTCCCGCCGGCCTTGCAGGTCCACCGCCGGGCCCCTCATAGGGCTCGGCAGTGGAGCTGCAAGGCTGGCGGCCAGGACCGTTGGGGGCGGGGTGTGTGGCCTTATGACACACTTCCGGTGATGTCAGGTGGTGTGGCATATGCTAATGAGCTATGCTAATGAGTTCCCCTAGCTCTTTTTCTACGAAACGACCCCTGAGTAAGTATCAATACCTCATGTGCACTAACAGAAGTATATTAAAGTCAGTTAATTGTATAAGAATCTTTAGATTCCATTCAGTTTTAAAATTTGTAATTGTATTTTGTTTTATATTGGTGGAATGTTATGCTTGAAGTGGCAGTGGGCTTTCCATTAAACTATCAGAATGTTTAAGTTGAACAGCTGGAAGAAAAGGGGGCAACCTATATTTGATTTTTAATCACATAAAACATTAATAAAATTGGGTATTTATATTCAATATATTTCAAAATCTCTGTTGTGTAGAAAAACTTAGCATCTCATTGTCAGTTTTTATGTGTACATCTGCTGTGATAGATTTCCAGATGTTTACGAGAGAATACAAATCAACTTTAAAGAATTAGGTGCTGTCTAGACTGGGGATTTTCACTGATTACATCCATCATGGTTGAACAGAGTAACTTCTGTCAGACTATTTGTAGAATATTTATAGTAGTGTACTTCTGTTTCCTAAAAAAGGATATTTTTCGTCAACAGCTAATACATACCAATCAATTGGTATAGTCATCTTTTGGACTGTATCTCTAGATTTCAGTGTAGTATTATGGCCCATTATTCTTTGCATGTCACTGCCTGTATTTCTAAATCTTCATACTAAATTTAAGAAATTATTTTTATAATCAAACACATAGCTTTAGCACATTTTCTAAGTTACTAGCTTCATATTCAATCAGTGAATGCTGTTTTTATTGTGTCAATCTTCTGCGCAGACTGAAACTGTTAATGTGCATTTTTCATATTTATTGAGCATCAGCTAGATGGTCCTTGTGTGTGGCACTATGAGGCTGGTCATTTTTGAGCAAAGATATTTCACATCTTTGAGAAAGTTAGTGGGTGTACACAGCCTCCCACTTCAGTGCATGCTTGAGAAAGAATGTTTCCTGACAAAAAAAAAAATCTGTTTTACTGCTTGTATTCTTTGGGTCCTGTAAATACAAGAATAGTTGATTAATACCTCCTGGAAAATTAGGTCCTTAAATATATTTTTCTTTTCCTTATTTTCATGCAGTTGCTTTCCCATACTCTGTTGCTGACACAGTAGGGGTTAAATTCCACAAAGATTGGGTACTTGCTCTACTGTCAACTTGTATCGATGGCTCTTCCTTTCACCCTTTTCCAACAGGAACATAATCTCATAATATATTACAATTGTAATTCTATAAAATGCAGAGGAACAAGAAGTTGCACAAAAGATAGTGGAAACAAAAAGTGGAAATTTGATGAAATTTAGACTCCCCAGTTCAGTGAGGGTATATGATGAGGAAATTCTGTGCCACATCAGATAATATATTATCTGTGAGACTGCTGCCAAAACAGGGAACTGTATACATATGGGAAATAATTGGTGTGAAGTGGCTCCCTACGTTATGTGGCTGGTTTCCAGAATGCCAGAAAAACGTTTATTTTCATTGTGAGCATTTGTTCCCTGTGATGGCTGAAAACAGCCTAAACGTCTTGGGGAGACTTGTTTTGCACAAATGGCTTCCAACATGAAATGACACTGTTCTGTTTCAGAATCAGCCCTGCTGCTGATTTGTCTGCCTCTGCATAGTAAAGTGGGGAGGACCAATATCAAATGTGTCTGAGTTTTGTTCCATGGAATCAACAGTGGGAGGGCTTCTAATGTCCTGGCCCCACTGGTAGACCTCCTGATGGCACCTGGTATTTCTGGCCACTGTGTGACACAGAGTGTTGGACTGGATGGGCCTTTGGCCTGATCCAACATTGGTGTGTCTTATGTTCTTATGTTCAGACAATGAAGTCTACTGGATACTTTGCAAACCATTTGTTTATTTACTTCATTCACACACCACCGTTCTCTTCAGTGGGCACCCAAAGTGGCTTACATCATTCTCCTCGCCTCCATTTTATCTTCACAACAACCCTGTGGGCTCGGTTAAGCTAAGAGCTTGAGACTGGCCCACGGTCACCCAGCAAGTTTCCATGGCAAAGCGGGGATTTGAACCTGGATCTGACAGATCCTAGACTGACACTCTAACCACTGCACCATGTTCACTATTGATGCAAAGGCTGGTGGTGGTGGGAATATCCTCCCACTCACTGTAAATCAGTGCTTCATTCTGTCTCTTCCCCCTAACTTGTAAATTCTTCCCAACCCTTTGTGTTGAATGGTGTGTGGAGTACATGGGCTCACCTTTGTCTTACATTATGTGTGTTGTGTGTGATATTCATTGTATTTTACTAATCCCATCAATACCAGGTTTTTTAAAAATACAAAGTGAGTTTAAATTACTATTATTTAAAACTATTTAGATTTTTAGTAATTTGTTGAATGCCACCATTCCCATGGCTTTTGTAAATATTTAGTTTCTGTTTCCACAGGAGACTTTGCAGCAGTTGATTATGATGGCTTTGCCAAATGTCTTAATAATTGGCAAGAACCCTTTTTCAGGTAAGTCTCTTACTTGATTTAAATCAGCTGTAGTAATACCATGACTTCTAAATGATCCAGGAGGGGGGTTGAACTTGTTCAAGAACTAATCATCCAGCAAAAGTCTAGATAACAGTGGGCAGATGAAGTTCTCTAGCATCATTAATCATCTGCTTTCCTCGTTTTTGTTACATATAATGGAATTGTAATCTTTTCTGCGGGACAGTCTTACTCAGTTGTGCATCGATTGCTTTTGTGGGGTTGGACAAAAATGAAGGCTGTAAAAGAAAAGGAGAAATATTGAGGCATGATTTGATTTTTGGAAAGCTTTTTGGTTGAGTTAGGAAAAACACTGGAGATGTCAGTTTTTATAAAAACAGAGAAGGGCCTCCTGTTGAGTGCACCAATGTTCTGCATAGTTACTTCAGATTAATGGATGCCAATCATTATTTTAAGTTGCCACTGCCTTGTCTTCACTTTCTGTGGAAAAAAATGAGAAAAAAGGGGGGACTCAACCCAAGATATGGCTGTGATATATGACAGTCAAGCTAACAAAACAAGTTATTATAAACATACAAATATTTATTATGGTGTATACATTAGTAAAAGATAAAATAGCTTAAAAGAAATGATCCAAATATCAGACTCTTAAAACTTTTTACGCACAGAGCTGATAATTTTACATATACAATTGATGGGTATATCTTATGAATCCAGGTTAATCTAGTGCCAGTGAAAAAGATATCAAGGTGAGGGGACATGTAAAGAATAGGAATGTTTACAACTTATCAAAAAATGTACACCATTTTTAAAATATTTTTAGAACAAGGTACTGAAGAAGTTAAAAAGCTACTTCTACTCCTGCTTGGCTGTGCAGTTCAGGTAAGATTTAACTTACACAGCTATTCATGATGCTCAGTTGGATAGACTTCCTTTTGGGGATAGTTGTCCTGTTTCTAGTTACTGTGTAAAATAGGCCTCTGGTGACACTCCTTCTAGGCTCACCTCTTCTAAACCTCTTCTAAACCTGAGCTGTCTCCAGGAGTCTAATTCATGATCCTAAGCCTTGCTTCTGCTTACAATGCTATGCTCTTTTCCCCCATTGTGGGATAGTCCTTTGCTGCCAAGTATATTCTTCCGGTACTAAGAGCTTCTGCTCGTGCAGAATCTTTCAGGTAACCAAAAATATTTCATGGCAGATCAATGACCATCTTTGCATCAAACAAAGGGGGGCACAAGTGGAAGCAAAGGTTAGGATGCCTAAAGGTTCCAAAGCTATAGAACCCGTGTGTGTGTGTGTGTGTGTGTGTGTGTGTGTTCAAACAATTATTATGCTGCTGAAGACATCTGTTATTGTATAAAGAGTAAAAGATTTCCAGTATTATTTGAGGAACAAATTAAGCAATGTTGTTGGAGTGTGCTGAGGCTAGGTGAGTTTGAAACATCCCAAAGTTTCAGTATTATAACAATGCTAAACAATTTATTTTTAAAAATGAAAATTAAAAGGTTGTGAGCAGGAAACCTCTGAAAATGATGCAAAGTATGAAAAGACACTGATTAGTGTCTGATCTGAAATCCAGACAGATCACTAAAACTTATATGTAGTTGCAGATTCTTTGTTCAAGCATTTCCAAGATGGTTTTGGCTATGTGCTTTCTCAGAGTGAAGAAGTAAGTCAAGCCATGTTGGCAAGGACACACTTGAAAATTTCCAAAGGGCCCAGAAAAAATGCCCCAATTTCTTACCTCCCAACAACTTGAAGACCTACAGAGCTCTCAGCCTCTTTGAAATATGGAGGCTCCTTAGCTAACTAGGCAATTACATAACATCTCTGCAAAAAAAGAGTAAAACCTCATACAAAAGCAGGTAACTTTGAATTGAACACTCTCTAAATGGCTGAAATAAACAGGAGTCTTGTAACATCTTAAAGACTAACCAAACTTTATTTAAACTTTTATGGAATAAAACTTTGTTTGAAGAATGTTATAAGCTACATACTTTGAGAATAGTTTGGCTGGACAAAAGAAATTCCTCCAGAAAACTTTAACACTTGGCATTGCTGCACATTATAAGGTCCTTGGATTCTCTCTAGGTCTACCAAGAGGACTTTCAATCACATGTGGCTTTCAAATTCCCCAATAGTAACTCAGTTTCCAGGTTCAAGTGAGCTCTGTTTGGATTGGGATCATGGCATGTGGAAAGAGGAGGCGTATATCTCGCCTCCATTCCATTTTCCTGACCTGAAATTGACTTTTGGGGCATTGTTTACCCTGCTTTGGGTTCCTGGTGTACTGATGGCATACACTCAGGTTTCCCCAATGTCAAATATCATCCCCTGGGCCATTTCAGCTCATGAAAATGGCACCAGAAGGGGGGGGAGGCATAACCCATCTTTCTCCACATGTCACAGTCGCAATATGAATCAGGTCTCTGTGTGCTTTGAAAATTAATTCTCTGTATGGAACTTACAGCTCAAGTCTGAAAATCCTCATGGCTGACTTGGACATGACCAAAGGACTTTGTAATGTGCACTTAGGCTGTTAATGCAGGTGACGTATCAGAGAATGAGACTGGCAACTTCTCTTTATCACCTAACAGAGATTTCATGGTCTTAGGTCAGCAGACATAAAGTTTGATATTAGTAAAAAGAAAAGGAAGGTTTTAGCGTGTAGAAAAAAATAGAGCAGGTTAACTACAATTAAAATTAATCTAATAAAAATGGGGTACATTGCAGTTGTAAGCAATTGCTTTGACATTTTGGTCTAATCACTGACTGACTTTTGTATTGTGAGGTTGTTTTTCTAACAGTTAGGAACACAGTGGGCAACTTTCCTCTGACAGATGGCATTCAGAAGGCATTAAGTCTATAAATACAGAGCCTCATCAGCTCTTAAGATAGGTCAATTTTAAGGGAAGAATAGAAAGAAGCTGAAGGGGTGAGTTTGGAACTACATTTTCACAACAGAAATGGAAATTTAACTTGATCTTCTTGTACAGGAATGAAAATTCTTATAGTTCTGTAAAATCTTTTAAGGGATAATTTTTTAAAATTATACATTTTTGAATAATTTATCAGCTATCTAGACAGCTGATAGGTTTTGTTTCAAGCTGCTTCATGATAGTTAATTATTTCTGTAAACAGGAATATGTGTTTGAAAGAAAGATTTTAAGTATTTTTACAATAGAGTGACTTCTGGTTAATATGTATGTTTTAGTGTCAGAAGAAAGAAGAATTCATTGAAAGAATACAGAGTTTAGACTTTGATATAAGAGCAGCTGTTGCTGCCCACATACAAGAGGTAAATCTTACTTACTCAAAAGAATTTTGGAAGAAACCGTGTTTGATCTGCTTTGGTTCTGAAGAATATGAATGGTATTTACAAAGTAGTATATGATCATGTAACATATAATGAATTTGAAGCAATTCATTGATTTGGTTATCCCCATTGTGAGATGTAAATGCTTGGGTAATTCCAAACAGACCAATAGACTAGCAAACCAACTAAAATAATCTCATATTTAAGTACATCATTCAAGATGACTAATACCCTATTAAATGAGATGTGGGCAAGCCAACATGTTCTCCTGGTGGCCCGCCCAAACATATGAAGAAATTGGGATCAGAAATAAATGAAACCCTTTTTGGTGGTGGGAGGATGAAAAATCTTTTTATTCTGTTCAGTCTTGGGCTCACTGTAGAGTTGTCTGGAAAATGTATCTGATACTTTTGTTTTATTATTGTTACAGTGTATTTTTATATTTTAACTATACCCATCAATTTTCTGATTGTGATTATCAGCCACTTTGAATATTTGAAAATGTAGTCTGATGTTTTAAAATTTAAACCCCCTTGATGCATGACCACAGACTCAACCTGCAGATTTATACAATTACCACAGAATGACAGAAATGAATAAACTCTACAAACCAAGTAGAACATTAACCTGCTTGGGAACATGAGCTTCTCCTGTGCAGAAAGCAGGGGGAAAGGCCAATAGGCCATAACATATCACCAAACAGTTTCAGAACCTTTGTGACATATCAGTAACAAGGTGGTGCCATTTCCGATTAAATGTTTCCCAGGAACATTTGCTTATTTTGAATGTTGTGCAGAATGCATTGTGAAAATTAGTTATGGTAATACTAACATTATTTCCCAGATGTACTTGGTGTGCTATAGATGAAGTATGTCCTCTATGGATGTAATAAATTTTCACTTAGCACTGGCTTGTAATAAACTCATAGTGTATATAAGCCTTTAGTGACTCCACACAAAGGAATATTCTGAAATCCTCTGTTTACTACTGTGGAGCAAGTATGAGTGCTTCTGAGTAAACATGCATAGAATTGGTTTGCATATATTCCCTATTAGAGATCTTTATTACTGTGTTTTTCACAGCTTTCCCTTGTTATATAACCAGGCATTGCCATAAAAGTGTAATTAACAACAAGTGTGGCTAGGTAGCTTGTGAATACCTCAATTTGCTAGTACATTCCCTTTTAGTAATTCCAGGGTAGTTTGCTCACTGAGATTGCCTCTCCCCCTGACTGTTCAAATCAGCTGTCAACAAGGAGGCGAATAAATGTGTACCTCCTAGCAATGTGCAGGTTACAGTACATAAGTGTGTATTTTGTAGTTTACTGTTTAAATACCTAAATTTTCATTTTGCATTGATTCTGTTTCCTTCAGGTGACACATAATCAGGAAAATGTTTTTGATCTGCAGTGGATGGAAGATGGTGCTCTGTCACAAGAGTATATTGAGCCCCTCCTAAAAAATATGGCATTGCATTTAAAAAGACTTATAGATGAAAGAGATGAGCATTCTGAGGTATGTATTTTTACCAGTCTTTCAGATCTATTGTTTAGGAATTTTAGAAGGAACTAATGTACCAACAATGCAGCTGGAAATGTTGATGTTTCTGATTTGTAGGTTTTGGTGGAATAGGAGGTACAATCAAAACACTGAATTTCATTAAACTTCCTACAGTTTTCATGATGTTTCGTGCTTTAAAAATAATCTGTGCCATAACACTGAGAATAGTTGATAGGTGAAAAGATCAGTAAGCTACAAAAATATGACTGTCACTTTTCTTGTCATTAAGATAATAGGGTGTCTGTGAGGTCAGTGTGGGATTTGAGATTAGTAGATTAAAATCTGTGCACATCAGATGAACTCAAAACAAGACAAGAACTTTACAGATTAGTTCATGCAAATTCATGAAGTAATTGAGCCAGTAAGCAATTCAGATTAAATTATCCTAGGAATTTCTGTAGCACAGATGACTGGTAGCTCTTTCAGTGAAATTGTGCCCAGATGTTAGGATGCTCTTTGAGTTCATACTAGTTTGTTTCACGTATCTGTGATAAACTACATTTTCTTACTAAGGCATACCTATTCATATGCTCCTATAAAAAAATCTATTATTCCTTAGACTATCATAGAGCTGTCTGAAGAACGAGACTCTCTCCATTTTCTACCTCATGCATCAGCGGCACAATCACCTTGTGGATCTCCGGGCATGAAACGTACTGAAAGCAGACAGCATTTATCAGTGGAGCTAGCAGATGCCAAAGCAAAGATCAGAAGACTTAGACAAGAGCTGTAAGTATACAAAGGGCTCCATGGTTATTCCAGAAAATTGGGCTATTACAGGATGGAGGAGCTACAGGATTATGCCTCTGAAGAGAAGACATTCTAGAAGAAACAGGAGATATAGTTTTGCTTGATCATGTAGGGTTAGCGATATAATATACAAACATTTATATAAGTCCTGAGAGTTAATTAATGTGTCTGGTGTGCCTCATAGCTCAGGAAATACAACTAGAGTAGAAATTGTGCACCTTATTATTTGGCAGTTCATTACTACTGCACTGTACCCTAATAATGATGAGCTCTTACTGTCTTCTTGTTCTTTCTTCCTCCATGCCTGTTGTGTTAAAAACAATGCACTGTGCCATTTAAAACAAGCAAAAATGTTACAGAAATTTGGTGTTAGTATCTATTTCTCAACGAAGCATGCATTTGGCAAAACTACTTCAGCTTACTGGTTGGTAGACTTTAGCTTTGATACTGTTCTATGTGAGTGCCGCAGTCTTGACAGAAAGGAGCTTTCTAATATTTTGCTCCCCTCCCCTCCCCCTGGAGTCAGTTGATTCTGTGGGAGGAGTTAAGTGGAGGTCTACAGTGAAAAGAGGGAATCAGCAAAATTACTCCTACCAGTTATATATAATGGCTTCATCTTGACCCATTGATATGTTTTTCATGACTGATCTTGCTTTGGACTATGATAGAGTTAGAGCTCCAGCAGTCGTCTTCTTTTTTTTATGGCCCCCCGTAGGGGATTTTTTATTTGCATTTACTAAAAACTACAATGAAATTAGGGAGGGAATATACACACTATAGGAGAAAGAAAAGAAAACCCACTAAAAACCCAAGGGTTGGAGGTCACATACAGTTTGTAAAAAAATTGCTTAACAATAATAAAAAGCTTTCTTTAACATTGAGAGTGATCAATCATCATCGTAGCTTGTAAAAACATCCCAACAAATCTGACTATATGAAGAGTAGTCCAGGAGAATCGCTATTTAACTTAGACACAAATTACAGAGAACAATGGCATCTCATTTAACCATTATTTTCCCTCCACCATTAAAAGCAAATTAACAATAAGTCTCCCTCAGTAGATATTACACAATCTTGTTTTCTCTTCCATTGCTGTTTTCCTCTTTCTTCTTCCCTGTGGCACCATCTTGCTGTATCAGGAACTGGCCATCTCAAAACAAAGTCCCTTCTCCTTTTTCCAGGACTGTTCCGCTTAAATTCTTGCCTTCAATCATAGGGGTCGTTCCAATTTGCTTTTCACTGCCCGACTTCCAGCAGTCTTCTTTAGCATATGGTGAGACAGGGGGAACATTTACAGTATAACCTGTATCTATAAAAATACTAAGAACAATGTACTTTTGTAGGAGAGTTTTGACTGGGTCATTTTGAAACTGGCAAAGTTAATTGTTATCTTTAATCAGTTCCCTCTCCGCCCTAGCTCTGCACTCAAAGTAATACATTTTAGTCATCATGAGTACTGTAATACAATAGAAGAAATAGATCTTATTTTCTGATGACTGGATTATTATGTGTCTTTTGAAATGAGCCTACCCAAGATATTCTGTAAACAGCTGCACAAGGAAAATTAATGCAAATTGCTGTTATTAATTTGACTGACAGTTAATAGCCTGAACAGTGAACACTGGTACATTCTGTATAATTAAAGACAATTCCTTTTGTAATTCAGCTGAAGCATGCAGTTGGAAGTATAGTCATCACTGAGAACATTTAGCATTTTTACCATGTGTAAGAAACTTATTTGTAAACAGATCCTTGCTAGCCATAAAATGTTAGATATATTTTGATCAATTAAGATATGAAAATAACTTACTATTGCAAGTAATAATTTATTTTGCATTTAATAAAATAGATATAGAATTCAAAGAACAAATCACTATACACAAGAGGCCATACTTTTGATTTAAGGACCTTTGTAATTTAAGATACATTTCTACTTTTGTAATTTAAGATACATTGCTAGTCAGTGTATTAGAGTTCATCTTTGTAGTCTCTGTATTCCCCACATGGGAACTGTTCCATACATAGGCCAACTATGAAAAATTCTAGAGAAAGTGATGGAGTGTGAGGAGCTCTGTGGCGCAAGGGGCCAGTTGGACTGATTTGGTTCCAGGAGGATGTGGCCGGGTAATGGGGATGGCCGAAACAAGCTAATTGCATAGGTCTGACACAAAGGTTTCCGATTGGGCCACAGTTGACTATTAGGTGCAAGGGTGGCCCTATCTGGGGAGGGAGTTCCTTTTAGTTTGCGGAGCCAAGGAGAGAGGCATTGGCATGGACCCCTCCCTGGGCTGCCAGGTGGGAAGTAACTCCTTGGGTAGATTTAAGGATGGCTGCAGTCAGGAATTGGGAGGAGGAAGAGGACTAAGAAGCTAGGCAAGTGCAACACTGCAGGCAGACCCAATGGCACACAGCTATGTGAGGGAACCAGGAGTGAGAAAGGAGTGAGAAAACTTCCCTGCAATGGAAATGTGGATAGACCTTCAAGTCAATAAATCACATTTGTAGAATTTACGACTATGTGTGTGCTCACTGGAAAAGGGAATAGAGGGGCATCCCCTTCCCAGCCTGCTAAAACTCTCTGCCTGGTAGCTGCTTCAGCCCAGGCATGGCTGTATCGAGACCAAGCAACTACAAGCTAACAATGCTTTCTCCTCTCTGTGTATCATGTGAGTAGAGGGGGAGCATCTCCTTCCTCAGTTCTCTCTCTGATGCTATATATACTCTGTCCAGTTCCTCGTCATCACATGGACAATGCTTGTAGAAACAAACAGCAACCACCACCCATTATTTTGACTCACCCTCTTATCAAAGGAACCCAGACAAATCCAAGACCATTGATTGATGTGCAGCATGCTATTGTGGATGTCCATTCTGACTGAGAAAATTATTCTGTGCAGGGTTCTGAATTGGAGATACCTTTTGAACCATTCCTGGATGATATCTACTCCAGTCTCACATAGTGAGGACAAAGCTGTATAGCAGCTCCTCAGAATGGCTAGGTGACAGACATAGAGGTGACTTGCTGCTCTGCTCCAGCAGCACTGTTCAGGGTCCCCCATTCTGAATCGGTGGGTCTGATAGCACTCCCTATGATGCAGGGTCTGTTGTGTCTGTGTCTGTTCCTTCCTTGCCTTGAAAAATTGAATCCAAAATAGGAGCTATTGCTTCCTTTTCACTCACCCCTCTGCAAATTCTATCATTGTAGAAGCTTTATAGCAAACGGGCAAGAGTTCTTCATTTTTAGCACCTGTAGACAGTGAGGGTAGGAATCTTGTTCTTCATGGGAGAAAAAGTTGGTATCTCTTCTGCATTGACCTTTAAAACTGTAAATCACCACACTATTATAGGTTATTACCAGGTCTTTTGAGTGGAAAATATGTCACCATTCCTTGATGCAAACCCTGAGGGGGAGAGGGTCCTCCAAATGGAGGCTATGAGGCTCTCCAAACAACTAACTAAAACAATGTACTGGCTTGCAAGATCTGTCCAGAAGGCAGGCAAAACAGAGTTGTTCAGTCCAAGGTCAGGGGTCCAGAAGGCAGGCAAGACAGAATCAGTGGCTTAGCATCTATTGTGCACATTGCATCTACACTTAACAGCCTCTTTGGCTGGTTTTATAGCCTCACGCCTAAGGGTCATGCTTGCAACCAGTTACTCAGAAGCAATCCTGTGGCTATTTATCTTCATTATCAGCAAGCAGCTGGCATCAGGCCAGGAGCCATGCAGTTTGCCCTCTTGTCTGTAGCTCTGTTCTTCTCTTTTGTCTGCCACATTCTAAGGGTGTAGGTGATACCTGTGGGCTGGGAATGGCCAATAGAGGTTCACCTGCTGAATCAGGGCTGGAGGATGTCAGTGGCTCTGCACCAGCTGTTGCCTGTGAATCCTGACAAGCTTGCAGCTTTTTCCTGCTGGTCAGCCTCTGTTAACTCAAGGCTGGCTTCACAGGGCTCCTCTTCTCCTGAGGAGTCCTTGCTATCGCTGAGCCCTGGCTGACTCATGACAAAAAGCCAAGTATGCCGCAGATTGCACAGCAAGAAATCTTCTTACCACAGTTTCATTAAGGAGTCATGTCTGGATGCATTCTGTTTTCTTGGCTAATGAAACAAAGGCAAAAGAAAAGGATTTAGCCTTTGAATGTGTAAGAATGATTTAATTGGCATATTGATAAAGCCTTGGGGAAAAAATCAGAAAAATCATTTCACAGCAAAATCTTGAAAAATCAGTCCAGAAGGATACCATTGTCAGTGGTGTAGAAAGCTACTGTGAGAGATCCAGGAGAATCAGCAGTGTCACACTCCCTCTGTCCATCTTCTGGTACAGGTCATCCACCAAGGTGACCAAGGAAGTTTCAGTACTATAACCAGGCCTGAAACCAGATTGGAAGGATCATATAGATACCACCCTGAAATTTAAGACTAAACAAAATGCTGGACATTTCCATTTTCATGTTACATGTTTGCTGGTAAGAGTTAACCACGTGCATTTGGCATGTTGAGATGGTAGTTTGCCACCTTGGGAATCCAGTTGAAGAACTATGTTCATCCATGACATTCTGAAGTATTAGATTATGCTCACATGAAACTAGTCTTTTGGTGCCTTCCATCACAGAGTTCCAGTTTCGAATGGTTTGAGATAATAGAGACTATCTAGTTTGAGTCTGTGGTTTCCTTTCTACAAGTTCTTTTTAGTATTTGGCAGTGATTTATGAGATAATAAGCCTTCGGGGGGGGGGGGGGGGGACGACAAAACCAGGAAATCATAGAGGGGGGAAATTTATTCCACACAACACTAATTAACATTTAGAACAAATCAACAAAAGTGGCAACTACTCATGCTAGACATAATCTCAGAACTGGTAATACACCAAATTGTACCATTTAGACCAGGGGTGTCGAACTCATTTGTTATGTGGGCCGGATCGGACATAAATGAGACCTTGTTGGGCCGGGCAATGTGTGTCATAAAATGTAATGCCAGGTGGTGGAGATACAGACTTTATAAAGGACAGAGACAAACGCAATTAAAGATTTTTTAAACCTTAAATAAAACATGCTTTAAACACTAGCAGTCTTGTAATATTTTGTCTATTTAAGAGTCTCTGATAACTGAGACCTCTTGCTCTGAAGTATTGCATCAAAATGTTTGTGCTGTCACATTGACCCTAAAGCCTGCTAAACAACCAAACTTCTGTAGCAATTCCATGATTCCAGTGGTTCTGTTAATATTATTGCTAGATCATCTGCATTGCAGTCTTTTGTACATATGTTGCTCCATGTGCTGGTGAAGAACATGAGGAGGCATTCTGATACAGACTGCAGGCCATGTGTTTGTCTACAAAACTATAGTCTTCCCCAGAGAAATAACTACAACTTCCTACAAAGGAAATGTGCTGGGTGAATCTGGTTTGGACACGCAATCTCAGCCTAATCCACCTCACTGGCTTGTTGTTATTCCTCTTCTAAATAGTTCATATGGCTTTCCTACTGAGAAAGACTGGATCATGAGGGCATGAATACAGTGAAAAGGGGGAGGGAACCCAGTTGCACCCAGGAGAGCCCTGGCATAAAGAGCCCAACAACACACACACACATACAGCATAAGGAGCCCAACAGAACACACACACACACACTGTAGCAAGGCACACAAAAGCTCATACATTGAACAAAACTTGGTTGGCCTTAAAGGAGCTTGGTATTTTTCCCATACAATTGAGGCAGCCCAGCAAAGCAAGCTCTCCTCCCTCCCTCCCTCCCTCCTCCAGGGAGAAGCCTCAGCCAGTGGAAGGAAAGAAAGGCTTCCCTTTGTATTCTGTATAGGACTGAGGCAGCCTGGCAGGAAGCTCTGGCTCATTCCTCCCCCTGGGAGGAGGAGGATGGGGAGGAACCTCAGCCAGTTCTTTACCAGACTCTCTCAATCACACAGGAGAGGCTTGTGTATCTATCTGTCCTGTGCAATTGAGAGAACCTGGTAAAGCAAGCTGTGAGATGGCAGCAGAAGAAGAACTGGAAAAAGAGGCAGGAAACAGCCAGGGCCTTGTGGTCCAGATTGGAGTCCTCCGAGGGCTTGATCCGGCACACGGGCCACATGTTTGACACCCCTGATTTAGACTAAGCCTCCTTCAGAGCTTGGTCCTAAACATAAATTAGGAAGAGTCAAAGCATATGCCCAATGAAAACATAAGAACATGAGAGAACCCAGTGTTGGATCAGGCCAGTGGCCTATCCAGTCCAACACTCTGTCACACAGTGGTCAAACATCCTCTTCAGTGGGGCACAGTTACTCTGTTTAAGGGTATGGATTTTTCCCCACAAGAAAAGAGTAACGCTATCCTGGTCCCGGTTTAGAAGTTTCAGAAATGTCGTTTCCAGTCAACTCTAGGGTTTCTAGCTTCTGCTACTGTCACCTCACCAAAATGTAGAACTCAGTATCCACAGATTTTAAATTCGTTGGGTTGGATCCAGCCAGCATTTTTGGTGGTGGAAAGGGGAGGGTGATATCTCCTGCAGCCTCCAAAAAGGATGTCCTGAGGACCATAGGATCTACATGGTCAAGAGCAATGTGGGATAGGGACTGTAGCAAGGTGGGGAATTAGATGAGGGTGAGTGAAAAAGCTGTCTGAATCCAAATCCATAGATATGTCAAGTAATACAATTTTATAAGCTAAGAAGTTATAAATGTTACATCTCATGTTGTTAAAGCAGCAGAATAGATTTAGGTTTGATAGAAAGTCAGTATTGCATGTATTTCAATTTTCTAAATATTGTGTCCCCCCATGGTTTTATTCCTATGATGTCAAAAATTCCAGAAACTTAACCTCTCTAGTCTTTAGTGAACTATAAAGAAAATATTCATTCTTTCTGGGGGAGTGGTGGGGATGTAGACTAAGGCTTTAGTTTTATATTTTAACTGACTTCTTCTTTTCTTAAGTGAGGAAAAGACTGAACAGTTGCTGGATTGTAAACAAGAACTGGAACAGATTGAAGTTGAATTAAAGAGACTACAGCAAGAGGTTTGGAAACATGAAATTGCTTCTCAAGTCTTTGTGCTTGGCACAAGTGTAGTTTGGCCCCGGTCACACGGGCAGGAAACTGCGGGGGGGAAGCGTGGCAGTTTGCCCCGGGGCAAACTAACGCGTGGTAAAGAGATCAGACCTCCCGTTGAGGTACCGTGGAGGTTCCGTGGGAAGGGAGAGGTGCTGATCGCAAGACAATTCCGCGTGCAAAAAAGAAGTGCGCGGTGCGGCAAACTGGTTTTTTTCGTGTACACCACGACTGCGCATGCTCCGTTGGGTGCTTGTGCGCATCCACGGAGATGTGGGGAAAAAAACCCTTTTTCGCAAGGGGACATGGGCGGGTGCCGGATGCCTCCGGAAACGCGATTAGACGCCTGCCCTTGCCCCGCAGTTACCGGAAACTAGTACCTCCGAGGTACTAGTTTTTTGCTGCGTGTTTTCGGCGGGAAGCCTCAGTTGAGCCATGGAAGTGCTACACTTCCCAGATGTGCCGGTGAGATCGCGCCCGGAAACTCCGCCTGTCTTCCATCGCTCTAGCGTGGCTAATGCTCCGTGTGACCGCAGCCTTTATTTATTTTTATTTATTTTTACCAGTTTAATCACTGAAATATATATGTCAAGGGAGAACTTTCTCAGTTAAGCAAACTTTTCTTCCAGGGGCTGGGCTAGGAGCATTTGGAGTTCTTACATGAATCCATGTATGTTTAATTTGTTCAGTACCATCAGTAATTCATATTGTTTAATGCTTTTATACATGCTTTAATTGGTCCAGATTTCATGAAAACTAACCCTTCTGTCAGCTGACATTACTCTACAGTATCGGTTTTATTTTCTACCTGATCTGATTTTGAGTAAAATAGGGGTTTTTTTTCCATTTGATAGAATATGAATTTGCTTTCGGATGCACGTTCTGCCAGAGTGTACCGAGATGAGCTAGATGCTCTCAGAGAGAAGGCGATCCGTGTTGACAAACTTGAAAGTGAAGTCAGCAGATACAAAGAGAGGCTACATGATATTGAATTCTACAAGGCTAGAGTGGAGGTGACTTGAAATTTAAACATTTTATTAAAAGACTTGTCTGTCAGTTTCTCATGGAACATTGCAGTTTTGCAAGAGTCCCAGTTTACCAAATTGGGACAGAGGTATATAATTTTGGTGATCTTCATTTTCTTTCAGGTCTAAGAGACAGATGTGGAAAATGAAATACAGGGCCATATTACACATAATGTGGGAGACCTCTGATCTGGCTCTCACATAAGCTTTTGTGTGTTTTAAATCTAATAGCAAACATTAGATGGATGGATGGTTGATTCAGATGAGGGGCATGGTAAAGGGGGTGGGTTTTTAGTCCTATCTTCCATGCCATTTTCCGGATGCAAATCATACTCATCCATCTTGAGTTGCTATCTGCTGTCCATGGGTAAACACACACCCTTGCATGCTCTGTCTGCACCCTTCAGCAGGGTCTTTGTAATCAGGAATTGTCTGCTTTAGTTAATTGATGCTTGCATGCTTCAAAAAGAACATACTCTCAAAGTTTTAATTCAAGGAATTTACTTGTGGGATAGGGTGGGGTATAAATTAAATAAATAAATGATGATGACGACGACAACAACAACAACAGCAGTTGGCTTTTGGAATGCCTAGAAACCCCAAGAAAAATCTTCTGAGTTCTGGAGACTCATGACCAGGACTTTGCTGCTAACAGCATCTGAAGGGGTTGGAGTGAATGTCAAAAGTTTGCACCAGAATATCAGCACCCACTGTAGGGCATAGTGTTGCAACTGCAGCAAGGGCTCGCAACCCTCTTGTTAGGGCAAAATCGCACGACTTCCTGCCTGCACCGGGGGTCCACATTGATATTTACTAACTGGGATTTTGGCATTTGAATTTGGTCATGATGGGTTCCAAAGTAAATTTTTAAAGTTAAATGAGTTTTAGCACAATATTAAGAATTATGGATTGGATCCAAAGAATCTTGAGTGTAGCTCTGGTTATACAATGAAAATCCCCTGCCTCCCCTTATCTTCTGCAGTCCATTGGGACACCAAGAAAGCTGCTTTTGAAGGTCAGGGTTTCCTTAGATGCCATATGGGGAAAGGGGGAAATGTGTGAAATGTCTAGCAGAAAGAATACTTTTGAGTCCAATCCTATGTTTCTAATATTTCATGTTGCCAAGTACATTTTTGTGAGATACTTTTATAAGATTTTAATAAAAATAACACTTTTAAAAACTTTTTTTCTATGTGTTTTTGTGTAACACTTGCATACAGTAAGTACAAGCTTCATATTTCTGTTTGATTTTTATAGGAACTCAAAGAAGATAATCAAGTATTGTTGGAAACAAAGACAATGTTGGAAGATCAGTTGGAGGGGACCCGGGCTCGTTCAGATAAGTTGCATGAACTGGAGAAGGAAAATTTACAATTAAAAGCTAAACTACATGATATGGAGATGGTAAGCATATAAGAGCCCTAACCTTGATAGCCCATGCCATGGGCAGCTAAGCAGGGTGGATGGGAGACCACCAAGGAAGTTCAGGTTGCTATGCAGAGGCAGGCATGGCAAACCAACTCTGTTTGTCTTTGCCTTGAAAACCCTCCAGGTTCAGCATAAGTTACCAGTGTCTTAATGGCCCTTTCCACAACCAAGCATATAAGATAAGCTCTCAGATGTATAGTTTTTAAAAAGTGAACTATTATTGACTTTGACATTCAAAGGGAGCAATAAATAGTTTTTGGTACTGCAGAAGTTGTGGGTTTGTTGCAATTACTTTCACTTTAAAGTCACTTTTCCAAATGTAAGCATATATTTAATCAGATTAAATACAGCAGAAGTACATAGAAATAGCGATGAGAAAAGCTACTTTATGTAGCCTAATCTATCTTCTGTTTAAATAAATCTCCAAAAATATGTTTTTGCACTTTGAGAGGAACTTTTAAAAGAGCTTCATGTAAACAATATTTAAGGAGCGTGATATGGATCGGAAGTTATCGGAAGAAAATTGAGGAACTTATGGAGGAAAACATGACTCTAGAAATGGCTCAGAAGCAAAGTATGGATGAGTCACTTCATCTTGGATGGGAACTTGAACAAATAAACAGATCCAGTGAACTATCCGAAGGTAGTTAAAAGATTTCTTTTTCCTACTGTTACGGAAAATGATGAAACTGTAGATCTCAGACGTTCTAAGAACTGTTTCAGGTGTTTATAAATTGTTCTACTTAAAGATGTGCCCTAGCTTGTCCATGAATATTGCTACTTCTTTGCTTTGCAGGGGCAATTTTTATTAGTATACACTTCAGGTAGGAGTATTTTTGATATGGCTGTGTTGCCATAGCTGCTCAGGCCATTCCATGTAGAGCATTTTACAAACTGCTGAACTAGGCCTAACAAAATGTATTTTAAGACACTCTTATTTCATATAAGAAAATACATGGCATCATGATTCATTATCATCCTGTTGTATTACCATAATCAGTTAAAATATTTTAATGAACAGTGGCACAACCTGGCTTCCTATATACATGTAGTCATTAGCTAATTACAGGGACTTGTGGAGGGCACCTCACTTTCCCCTGTATCCTCCTCCCCACACTATTTCCTCTTTTCTTCTTTGTGGCAGCACCCGTATCCTCACCTTCCCACAATCAACCTTTTATCTGCCCCCCCCCATTAAACCAAATTATTTATTTACTTATTTATATCCAGCCTTTCTCCACAATGGGGACCCAAAGTAGCTTACATCATTTTCCTCTCCTCTATTTAATCCTCACAAGAGCCCTATGATGTAGGTTAGGCTGACAGTGTTCAGCTGGCTGAATATCAGGCATTGATCACCTCGGCAAAGTGGGGATTTGAACCTGATGCTAATCTGAAACTCTAAATAATATACAACACTGGTATTTGTGCAGTGGCTGCTGTTGAGTAGTGAGCAGCCCTGCCTCAGATATGTCCCGGAAACACTCAGTATTTTCTGCAAATCGTATATCTTGGGTTTATTCCCTCCAGTACTGAACTTTATGATCCAAATGTTTAGCAGTAATGAAATGCAGCCATCCACAGACAAAATAAGGGTGTCCTGATAAGGACCAAGCATGCTAGGTGTCTTCTGGGAGTGGTATAGTGTTCAGAGCAGCTGTCAGTTAAAACCAAATAGAAAACAAAACCTGGAGGAAATGAGAATAGGCTCGCTGGAGTCCCTAAGAGCTGACAGTATTCTCAAGGGTTATATATAGTTTGGGGCAAATTTCCCAGTTTTTAACTCCATTGGGAGTCCTTTTGCCCCACAACTTATCTTTTCCAATGGTGACAATAAATTTCTCCTCAGCACATCTCTGAATGGTCTGGCAAGTATTTAGAACTTTTCTTGAGAAATACATATTCCAAGACTTTGCCAAGCAAAACTTTTCCCATCTAAAATGATCAGTTATGTTTCCTGCTGTATTAGTTGTTGGTAATCACCTCTTCATGTCAAGAAATTAGATTATTATACTTTCTTTTAGTCAGCAAATAAATGTCAGTTTCGAAATACCTTTCTAAAGAGTTCAGTGTAAGCTTAACACTACATATTCTCTAGCCCAGAGGTGTTGAACTCATTTGTTATGAGGGCCAGATTTGACATGTGTCACTTTGTTAAGAACATAAGAACATGAGAGAAGCCAATGTTGGATCAGGCCAATGGCCCATCCAGTCCAACACTCTGTCACACAGTGGCCAAAAATACCAGGTGCCATCAGGAGGTCCATCAGTGGGGCCAGGACACTAGAAGCCCTCCCACTGTTGACCCCCCCAAGCACCAAGAATACAGTGCATCCCTTGCCCCAGACTGAGAGTTCCTATCTATGTTGGGCTATACCATGCATGCAATACAATGTAGCACGAGGTACCAGCGATATAAACTTTATAAAGGTGATTTCAGATGCCGAATGGCAATAGCAGGCATGATTGGATTAGGTGTGATATGCAGAGGGGAAGTAGGTGTGGAGAGATCAGCGTTGGTAATGAGACAGGAAACCTAGGTCTAAGTTCCATCCAGGAGGATTCAGTCCAGAAGGATACAACGAATAAATGGACATAAGTGTGACATTAGAAACCACAGCATTCAGTTGCTGACCTAAGAGTAGCAGTGCTCTTACAAAGGAATTTCAAAGGGAGATTAGAAAGAGAGACTGCTAAATTGCATCCTCCTGGACTGGGCTGAGAGCTAGTTTTCCTGTCTCATTACCAATGTGTGCTATTATTATTTGGCATCTGAAAACATTCTACTCTCCAAGATATAAGGACCAGTCCAAGTGTTCTAATTCCTAATCAGGGTCTTCTTGAAATAAAATAAATCCAGATAGGAACAGATAAATCCAATCATTTTTAAAAAAACATACAACTTTTCAGAATAAGCCAAAATAATTTTCTCATTGTACATTGTGCTTGCCAGAAGAATCCATCCTCCCTCCCTCCCTCCCTAGAAGTGTGCTTGCACACAAAAGCTTATACCTGGAATAAAACATTTTTGGTCTTAAAGATGGGGCTCTAATTTTGTTTTTTTTCTCTCTTTCCTCCTCTTCCCTTCATGCCCCAAAAGAGGAGGAGCAGCCATGGAGAAGAAAGCAGAAGCAATCTCTTTCTCTCTGTATGAGTGTGTGTTTGGGGGGGAGGGACAGGCAGGCAGGCTTGTCTTTTTATCTTTCTGGCACGAAGCAGCCACGAAGAGCCACTGAGAGAGCTGGGGGGAAAACAAGCTAGGGTACAACTGCAGCAGCAGCCCTGGAGGGAAAAAAAACCTAATGCTAGCTCTTTGCACTAAGTTAAACCTAGCATATCCCAAATGCTTTTTTCCGCTTGTGCAAGACATTATTCAAGGAATTTTTGGCTATTGTAAGATATAGGGAGGAAAGTACACAATATCTTGCGCAAGCAGGATTGCATTAAGTCTGTTTATGTTTCCACGTATGCATCTGTAGATTAATTCCGCTGTGTCTTTAGCACCAAACCAGTGGATGAGCTAGGTAGCTTGTAGTTTATTAAGATCACTGATATTTGTAGCTCATGAGAATCTATGCAGATAATTTAGTGTTGTTGTCTCTAACAAACAGAAAATGGTTCAGGGCTCATCACAATAACATGGTTTTGTGTTTCTTTTCCTTTCCTTTCTCCCATTGAAGCTCCATGAAACAATGCTCTTGAGCAGCAGGAATTGTTATTATTTAAAGGGTGAAAGCACTGAAAAAAATGTAGCTATAATGTAATTTGCAGGGTTTTTCACAAAGTAAAATATTCAAAGTGGCTGAGATTAAAAGTTAAGAATGACAGGCTAGAAATGAGCTTTGAGATCTTGATAAAATGGCCAATCAAGAAGAATATGAAAAGAGGTATCAATCTTACCTGAAGGACTGGACAGAGTCGATAAGAATACAGTATATTCATAAATATACCCTGGCAAACCTGAGAAGGATTAGCATTTAATCCAGACAAACAAGACCCTCGCACATCAAGTAATGGTCACATAATATGTGTCTGATGAAAGATTGTTTGGAGGGGAAATACCAAAAAATTGAGAGGAGTAAATATGGTAGTTTGATAGTCAAGGTTAATAGTACATTTCTTAAGCGGAGCATAAATCTTGTGTTTCTTATGATTTGTCATCAAAGATGATGTTATACCCAGGGCTATCAAATTTATGTCAAGGAGTTTCACCCAAGAAGATCTAAAAGTGTCCAAAAGAAGATCTACATAGTTCCAGGTTTTTTAAAAAGATTTTTGTTTTTTTGTCAGCTCAGTTGGTACAAAGTATTTTGGATTTCTGACCCTGGGGGACCATTTATTAAGTTTAGAATTTAGGCATTCCTAATCCTTTGTCACTGAAAGAGGCAAAAGCGCTTGAGGCCAAGCACCTTCTGGAATAGCTTGAGCTAGGATATGATGAAATAGGGAATAGCAGTGGTATCTTGGGCATGACTCATATGGCATGTGCTAATTATAAGTAAATACTGTACAAATAATGGTTGGGAAACTTTTTTTTAATTGTGTAGTGCCACGAAAATCCCTTGGACATGAGGTGAATGAACTGGCATCGAGTAGGTTACTGAAACTGGAAATGGAAAACCAAAGTTTGCTAAAGACTGTGGAAGAGCTACAAAGTACAGTGGGATCTGTAGAAGGCAGTAATTCAAAACTTATGAAAATGGAAAAGGAAAACCAGAGACTAAGTAAAAAGGTACCCAGTGGCAATTTTTGTTTTAAAAAATTGAAAATGTTAAATCCCAGGATACTATTATAACCATATGTTATCCCATCATTCATTAAAGAAATTAAGGCAAGTAGCTTAAAGTTGCAGTAAGCTTTCTGTTATGAAGTTCATTGTGTTTTCTTGCCTCCCCCCAAGTCTTTTTGTATTTAATATTTTATGGCATCAATTTTAGCAAAATAATACATTTACTATTGAGATTGCAAATAAGTTTCAAGGATAAAGCAAACATTGCTGTTCATCTTTTTACTACATTTTCTCAAATAATGTCACTTTAAAAGCTGTAACAAACTTATCAGCTTCATCAGGTCTGCTTTCCTTTAGATACATCTGGTTTCCATTGACCTTTGAGGTCCCCTTTCTGAGGGGAAAGGATATCTACACATGCTTTTAATAATAAATAATATAGAAGCTAATATAGGCTTTGATGTAAGTCCATTTGATAGCTGAAAAAGATTAGGTCAGTTGACTGGTCAAGTATTATCAAATGTTGGTCAGCTATTTTAAAAGCATCAAGTTTATTAGAAAACAAAAATGATACTGTATTCGTCAAGAGGTTGAAACACTTAACCTGTAACGGCCCATATCTGCAGGACCCCTTTCCTGCTATTCTCCACTGCAACAACTTCACTCATCTGAGCAAAGCTTTCTGAAGGTGCCACCCTGCAAATAGGTAAACTGCTCCATAAGGAGCAGGTAGTCCCTGAGGTCTGCATTCTCTGTTGTGGCACCCTCATTGTGGAATAGCCTATCTTTGGAGATCAGGAAGGTTCCCACACTTCAATCATTCTGCAAACTATGTAAAACAGAAGTGTTCCAGAGGCCCCTTTTATAAAGGGAATAGGGCTTGTAATACAACAGAACTGTTCAGGCGGGCACTTTTATAAGGGGAACATGAGTTTACTATTTGTTTTATTTAAAACATTTTAAAGCTGCATTTTAACCCAATTTAGGATTCCCAAGATGGTGAACAGTAAAGATTAAAACAAGATTAAAAAAAACACACAAATATATAAAATAATTGAAAAAACACAAACACATGAATAGGAGAAAGAATCAGTGAGAAGGTGAAGCCAGGCCAGGCAAAACAGGAAAGTCTTCACCCACTGGCAGAAGACACTAATAGAAGGCACAGATGAATCTCGCTGGGGAGGGAATGCTATAATTTCTGTGCCACAGCTGAGAAGTCCTTTCTCAGGTTGTAACCTGTTCAGCCTTCGATGGTGGTGGTGGTGGGGGGCACCCAAAACAGTGCCTCCAAAGATTACACTAGTGGTTGGGTATGTTCACATGGGAGTAGGTGGTCCCTAATGTCTTTTGGCCCCAAACTGTACAGGCTTTAAAGATCAGTAACAGCACCTTGAATTCAACCCAGAAGTAAATTGGGAGCTACTGTAAGTGGAACAAGACTGGAGTGATACACTTTCTACAGACCAGTTCAGCCAGAAATCTGGCTGCAGCATTCTGCAGCAAGTGTAGTTTCCAGATACTTTTCCAAATGTAGACCACTTTACAGTAGTCTAATCTAGATGTTCCCAGGGAATGCACCACTGTTGCAAAACTTTTTTTGCTCAGGAAAGGATACAACTGGGTCACCAGCCAAAGCTGGTGAAAGGTACTCCTGGCCACTACTACTATCTCCTTGTCCAGCAGCACCCCTAAGCTACAAACCTGCTCCTTTGTGGGGAGTGTGGCACCATTCAGGACAGGGGACATCCCAATTTGGTGTAGTGGTTAAGTGTGCGGACTCAAATCTGGGAGAACCGGGTTTGATTCCCCACTCCTCCACTTGCACCTGGCTGGATGGCCTTGGGCAAGCCATAGTTTTGATAAGAGCTGTTCTTGAAAAAGAGCAGTTTCTGTCAAGAGCTCTCTCAGCCCCACCTACCTCACAGGGTGTCTGTTGGGCGGAGGGGAAGGGAAAGGAGATTGTAAGCCGCTCTGAGACACCTTTGGGTAGTGAAGGGTGGGGTATAAATCCAATCTCCTCTTCTCTTCTTCTTCTTCTACTGTTTACTGTCTGTCTTGCTCTTACTGCAGTGGTTTCTACTTTTGCGATTTTTGGGGTGGATAAGCTTTGTTTGACATATTATGCCTGATACACTTTTCCATATTGTTTCTAATTTTTGTTATCCTAGTCCAATTATATTGTTTGTTGGATGTCTCATGCTGTTTGATTGTGATGTTTTACACATTGCCTCTCAGTGAGAAAGGTGGGCTATAAATATAGTCAGGGGTCATTTCGTAGAAAAAGAGCTAGGGGGACTCATTAGCATAACTCATTAGCATATGCCACACCCCCTGACATCACCGGACGTGTGTCCTCCCCACAGCCGGCGGCGACCTCCAGCGGGCACCAGCAGGGAGCTCCAGGCCCCGCCCTCCCGCACCTCACCCGGGGGGATGGCGTCCCCCCACGTCCCCCCCCAAATGACCCCTGATTATAGTAAATAAATATCACGTGTCTCTTAGCCATTTAATCACCAAGAAACTGACAAGGATCCACATTCTGTGTGGACTGGATAAGAAAATCCACCCACTTGACTGTTACAGCCTGAGCTGCATGGCAGCTCCCATTCTGAAGGGGCCAGTGGGATCACTGTGGCCCCTATACTGTAATATAAATGCTAATTATTTTGTGGTTCATTGTGGTTCTTCTCCTGTAGGTTCAAGTTTTCTGTAGAAATCCTAAATTATTTCCAGGAAATATAGGGTCATTAGAATGTGTTGGGTTAATTTCCTATATAATACAGTATAAGAAATACTAAGTAAAAATCTTCACCTTTAGAAGATTAATTATGTACAGTTAAATGTAAGATTCCGTTTCAATTCTGTGTTTCTTCTAGCTGGAAGGACTTGAGAATGAACTTAGTGAAGAGAAGCAAAGTCTTCAAAACAGTCAGAATCTAAGCAAAGATCTGATGAAAGAGAAAGCGCAGCTTGAAAAGACAATTGAAACTCTGCGAGAAAACTCAGAGAGACAGGCAAGTTATATAACAAAGCCTTTTTACTCTGTCAACCTTGACTTTGATTAAATGGTCAAAGTTTGCATTTTTAAAGAGAAGCTATGTTTGTTTGGGGTATATATAATTTTAAAACATGGTAATCATTACCAATTTTTCCTGTTTCAGTTTTTACATAAATACATTTTTGTATGCATGTATCTTTTCTACTTTTGGAAAAAAATCTCAAATTTCAGCAGAATATACTATAGCTGAGCTCTTTACAAAACTATGAGCAGGATAGGGAAGCAGCATGCAGTTGTTCTTTAAGAATTTTTCTAGGCAGACAAACCTATCTTTCTAATTTGCTGGAGAGAAAGGAATGATTCTGTGTGGAGAATAAAAGTCTTACTCTTCTGTGCAGAGGGAAACATCTGTCTAGAAATGTCATCAAATTTGCCTGGCTTTCCTCCCTAGCTATGTAACAACTAGTTTTTCCTACAGCTGGGGCTGCTGAAAGCATCTGTCTGCTTCTTTGTAAAATACAGATACTCCTAATCTTGGATTTGAGCAGTCTAATTGCCAACTATTTACAGTTTAGCTTTCCAACATCAAACACTGAAAAGATTATAACATTGTTTTTATTGTTATATCTTAATATCCAATATTTTAGCCCAATACAGATTCATACTTTCATTTGTCATTTAAATTAATTAGATTAAAATGCTGGAACAGGAGAATGAGCATTTGAATCAAACAGTGGCTTCCCTCAGACAGCGCTCACAAATCAGTGCCGAAGCAAGAGTTAAAGATATTGAGAAGGAAAATAAAATTCTCCATGAATCTATCAAAGAGACAAGCAGTAAATTAAATAAGTTAGAATTTGAAAGGAAGCAAATTAAAAAAGAATTGGAACACTATAAAGAGAAGGGAGAAAGAGCAGATGAGCTAGAGAAAGAAGTTCAACATCTTGAAAAAGAAAATGAATTGTTACAGAAAAAGGTTACAAATTTAAAGATCACGTGTGAAAAAATAGATACTTTAGAAGAAGAAAACTCCAGTTTGGATATGGAAAATAGAAAGATGAAAAAGACTTTAGATAGCCTGAAAAATCTTAGCTTTCAGCTAGAGTCCTTAGAAAAGGAGAATGCACAACTTGATGAAGAGAATTTGGAACTCAGAAGAACAGTTGAATCTTTGAAGAGTATAAACATCAAGATGGCTCAGTTACAATTAGAAAACAAAGAATTGGAAAGTGAGAAACAGCAGCTTCAGAAGAGCCTGGAGCTTATGAAAACATCTTGTAAGAAGACTGAGCGTTTAGAAGTCAGTTACCAAGGTCTGGATACTGAAAACCAAAGGCTGCAGAAAGCCCTTGAAAACAGCAACAAAAAGATCCAGCATTTAGAAAGTGAACTACAAGATCTAGAGACAGAAAATCAAGCCCTACAAAAAAATTTAGAAGAACTCAAAATTTCTAGTAAACGTTTGGAACAATTGGAGAAAGAAAATAAACTTTTGGAGCAAGAAACCTCTCAACTGGAGAAAGATAAAAAACAACTGGAGAAAGAGAACAAGAGACTACGACAACAAGCAGATATTAAAGACAGCACTTTAGAAGAAAACAATGCAAAAATCTGTAACCTGGAAAAGGAGAACAAGTCACTCATTAAAGAAATTGGTGTATGTAAAGAAGCTTCCATACGGCTAAAAGAACTTGAAAAAGAAAATAAAGAACTTGTGAAGAGAGCCACCATTGACAAGAAAACACTTGTCACATTGCGAGAGGTAATATTGCCTGCTATGATATCAGTATGAAGGACATTGAAGTTGCAGTGTACCGATAAAACAGTTGTCAATTTAATACAATAATTTAGTTCATTAGTATAGTCAAATTAGTCATTTTACTAGTAGGTGTCTAGTGGTAATACTGTTTCTGAACTCTTAATGACTTGTGAATTCCATAGGCTTACACATTACAGTGGAAGAAACATCACATGAGTTCCCTCTACTCACTTACTTCCATTCTAACAGTGGAAGCTGCCTGCGGTTAGGGATGGGGACAAACCACAAAAATACGGTTCCGTTCATGGTTTGTAGCGAGTCATGAACCAAACTGGTTTGTTCAATTTGTGGCCCTGCAAACCACAGTCTCTTTCAGCGGGGTTTGCAGAAAGCCCAAAAAAGAGCTGAGTGGCGGGGAGCAGCTTGCTTCCTGCCGGTCAGCTGTTTCGGGCTGTCTTTTGTAGCCTCTTTAAAGAAACTGCAGAAGACAGTGCCAAACAGTTGACGTGCTGGGAGCACCTCCCCACCTATGTTTCGGGCTGTCTTCTGCAGCCCGTTTAAACTTTAAAGGGACTGCAGAAGACAGCACAAAACAGCTGATTGGCTGGAAACGCCTCCCCACCAATCAGCTCTTTTTGAGGCTTTGGGGGAACAGAAAGCAGGGGTTCTGTCCCATGCACAAACCACAAACCATATGAACCTCCTCTGGAAGTTCGTGACAGCAGTTCTGTCATGAACTTCTGTTTGAGAACCAGAAACAGGGCAAAATTCATAGTCTGAAGATAGTCACTATTTTTTCAAGGAACTGAAGATGGTTTGAAAGAAGAATCACTGCTTGTATTATGTACATACAGTCTTATTTTTGATTCTATAAAGTGATTTTGCAGATTTATGTGTTTCAAAACCTTCAGTATCTGACAGGATGTGACTGCACCAAAAAATGTAAACGTGTACCATAAGAAACAAAGCCTCCCTCAAATTTCTTTCAACTTTCTTTAAAACTATTGGCTGCCTCCATCCATAGTCCCCACAAACTGATGTTGCCTTATTAATTTAATATGTTCACTTTTAAATTTATTTATTTATTTATTTATTTGGGGAAAGGATTTGGTGAATGAAAAACTGAAGACGCAGCAGATGAATAATGATTTAGAGAAGCTTACACATGAACTTGAAAAGATTGGTTTGAATAAGGAGCGCCTCTTGCATGATGAGCAGAGTAGTGATGACAGGTGAGAATGCTATGTTGTGATCATTTCCTTATGGCGTTTCTGAAGCAGCTGTCTTTCATAGGATTTGTTGCTGAATGTGCAGTTGATGCAAAATATACTTCTTCCAGGCTCTACTTCTGGTTTTGTCTAGGAGTTAGTAGTACTTCATTAAAAGTGTTAACTCCCTTTTGCATTGTTTGTAGAGAAATCATGAGTGGACACTGTCTCCTGTATTTCAGAGCTCACTGCTGCACCTGTTGGCAAATAAATTTGCTCAACTAGTTATCCCAGTGTAGTGTTTCCAGTAGCAAGCAGCCATTAACACATGCTTCTGAATACCCTTTGCTTAAAAGTAGGCACATAGCTTGCTGCTTGAACAGGCATGCTTGTCTCACTTCTCCTTTATTGATGTTTCTGTTTTTGTTCTTCAAATGGCAAAGAGCAGTTCAGGATTAAGACCTGCATAGACAAGTCAAAGCATAAAAAATCATAGTCTGGACTCTGCTCCTTATATGTTTGTGTTTCTGCATCACTGAAATACATACAGTATGCTTAATCTGGTATGTATATATAATGTTTTCCTTCAGGGATATCCTCATTTTTCTTAGCTGAAAATTCCTTTATGATTCTAACACCTACATTTAAAAAGAAATTTCTACTTTGGCCCTGAAAGTTTACTGTTATAGCAACCTTAGTAACACACTATGTTATCCTTACCTACATATGATTGATTTAGATAAGGATTTTTCATTAGGTATGCACATTTGGATATTTCCAGTCTAAATTTATGTCCAAAAAATACTTCCTTCTTATTTTTGACATATCCAGGTGGTAGTTGGGGTTCCTGGGAATACTTGATATCAATTCCTAAAAAGTTTCAGAAATATTTGGGAATATCTGAAAATATTCAGGGCTGGCATTTTAAGGCCTGCTTTTCTTCAATTTTACAAGTTTTCTAGGCAATGGAGGGAGGGAGGTAGCTCTCCCAGGTGATTGTATCAGATGCTAGAGAACCACTTCTGTGCAGAAAATAGATACAGTGCTAAAAATGTTGTTCTTGCCACTCTCATAAAGAAAAAAATTATCACGAATATATTGGAACAAGAGATGCTAGGAAAGTAAACAAGTATCTCAGTTTAAAACAAGCACAAGCACAAACAGATCCCACAAAAGCACCTAAAATGAAGCTCATGCGTGCTGTAGTGCGGTTATTTTCTTCTTTACAGGGGTGGTGGGGAACGGGGGCACCAATGATGTACAGCTGTTGATTCTGTTGGGCTTGCTGCATTAGCCCTGGATTCTGCTGGTGTTCTGGTTTGATGTTGGTTCCATTGGGCTTGCCACATTGGCCCTGGATTCTGTTGGCATACTCTGGTTTGATGTTGGTTCTATTGGATTTATTGTTTCTGTTTGCATTTGGGGGCTTTTGACAAGTGATTCATCTTGTGTGCTTGGCTACTAGCTTCTTTAATTTTTTTCCCATAGGGAAAAATGGAGACAAGTAGAATGGCTGGACACCTTGTTCAGGGGTCCATTGAACTGAACCCGTTGGTCCAATTTGCTTGAAACTGGCAGGCTCTGCTGTGTTGACTGCATTTTTCGTTCAATCCCTTTTCTTCTTGGTTCCTCATTTCATCAGTTTGTTAAGATCTTGTTCCCTTATGTTTTCCATTTTCAGCCTCTCCCTTATCTGCCCATGTAGCTGCTCCAAAGCCTGGGTTGTGAGGTTTTTCTCAGTCATTACTACATTTTACTTCATTCACTGTTGTTTACACATTTATTGTTCTCTTGATGCTTAATGTTCATAAACTTTGTATGCCATTAGACCACCTCAGCTAGTAGCTACCACGAGAACTGTCCTAGTCCCCTGCCATATTACAAATATAAGATAGCTATTGCATTTTGAAAGTTATGGGTACTGCATGTCTACTATAGTCCGCCAAGGTCACTACATAGCAGAAATAGGTGAAGACCACAAAGTACACTTGAAAGAACTGGCAGTGTTGCAGAACGCTCCTTCAAGAATGTAACCACTTCAGCCCTTACAGCCAAAGGTCTTTATTGTAGTCTTAGCTAAACTGTGGTAAAAGTGGATTAAAAGAACTGATCATCTTCTCTCACCATAGCATACTACTATCAACATAGTCTGGGTATTAGGTGATCTTTACATTTATCATATTCATCTACAAATTTATATCTTCTATTACACATCACAGAATGTATTATACAGGATTGTACTCATTAGCATGGTCTACTATAATAGATTTATCATTTTTGGCTGATACAAACCTATTAGCAGAAAAAGAAATTATTTTCATATCACATACTGCACAAAGCAGTATACTCAGTCCCTTTGAAAGCATTCTTGGCTCTTGTCATTTTACTGCACCTGCCAATATAAGGTCACTGGCATACAAACATCTGTTTCCTTTACTTAGTGTTGTATTTCTTCCTCCTGGAATCAATATACATGTTTAAAAAAACTGAATGATCTTCAACGTGGTCTCTGTGCTTCACACCCATGGGATCTAGTGCGCACATGCTGGATCGATCGGCGTTATAGCAAGCTCTTTAACGGATTTTCGCACCCAGACCTCAGGCATGCGCAGGAACCCCACCGCGCATGCCCAGAGGGGAGGGCGCGGACATCCCGCCAGTTCCTTTCTTACCACCGCATTGGAAAGACCTTTCTTTCGTCGGTCTGATCAGTTTGCTATTTTTTGGCCTTTGCCTCACGGCTCTTCGTATATTGATTGAGGAAGGAAAGTTATATTAAGATGGCAGTATCCCATGGGTAGAAAAGTATAAGGAAGGAAGGTTTTTGTATATAAGTTACTTTCAAAAAGTAATTATACTGCATAGAAATAGTATTGTAATGTTTAAACAGGATTTATTTGTGTAAATTAATTTTTGCCCCACATTTTCCCATGTGGACCTAAGGGTTATGAAAGAAAGGGATTTGTGCAGGTAGCACTGTACTTCTAAAATGTAAGCTATCCTCAGCATATAAAATCTATATTGAAATATATTTATTAGTTGAGTTATCTCGGTTTTTATCTCTGGAATTGGATAGTTCATCTTGGGGCCAAAACATTTTCATGTTCTATTTGACATGAGACAGTTTTAAAGGTGGAAAGCACTTGTACCTCCTGTGTTTGAATTATTTTCTGGTCAAGGGTCAAATATTATGTATTAATGGCAGTAGATATCCAGTTTGTTCATCATTCTTCCTTGTTAGTTTACTTCCTGTTCCTTCTGGAATCAAAATACATGCTAAGAAAAACTGAGTGTTCTGCCTTCTCACCAGCCTTCCTGACAGCATGCTGCTCAATTGAGAATAATGGGTAGCTCTGTAATGGCTGGCTCTTTGCAACTTACTTGCAAAGCTTCTCTTCTGTGAACTGATATCTAGACCTCAAATTAATAGACAAAATGACACAGATAATTTTATTTCCTCTAGTTGGTGTTCTTCTGCATAATTAATAAATATTTTAGTTATACAGGTGCTTACCAGAGTGCTATTTCCATGGAATCGGTATTTTTAACATTTTGTTAATATGATTGTGAGTAGTCAGGATGGCTGGAAGAAGGAGGAGGAGCTAGTCACTTTCTGACTGAAATGGCTTGATTCTCAGAATTGGCAATTACATTTGAGTGGGTGTTACAGTGATAACTTTCTATCTCCGTTCCTTGATCTGCTGTTGCTGTCCATATCTGTACTTGTGAATTTCCACAGGTCTGTATTCCAGTTTGCATTATATCCTCCTGCCATGCTCTCTTGTCCTGCATCCCTAAAGCACTATCTGTCTGAACCAAAGGGGAAGAGCACAGTGCAACATTTCCATAAAACGATCCAGTCTCATTTCACACTTTCTTGGCTCTACTGCTGTTATTTAAACGTGCAGATTTTTTCACAGTCAGATATTCAGTGGCAATGAGCAGAATAATCAGAACTCAGATACATGTGTGGCTTGTGTGAAAATGACCTAAAGTTCTCAAATCACATAAGAACATAAGAGATGCCAAAGCTGGATCAGGCCAAAGGCCCATCCAGTCCAACACTCTGTATCACACAGTGGCCAGAAATACCAGTGCCATCAGGAGGTCCACCAGTGGGGCCAGGACATTAGAAGCCCTTCCACTGTTGACCCCCCCCCAAGCACCAAGATGACAGAGCATCACTTGCCCCAGAGTCCCTATCTATACCTTGTGGCTAATAGCCACTGATGGACCTCTGCTCACTGTCGCATTCACTACAGATCTGTTGTTTTTCTTTATTTATTTACTTAATGTATACCCTACCTTTCTCCCCAGTGAGAACCCTGGGCTTATATTGTTCTCCTCTCCTCCATTTTATCCTCACAATTACCCTGTGAGTTGGCTGGGGGTGTGCAACTGGCCCATGATCACCCAGTCAGCTTCCATGGCAGAGTAGGGATTCAAACCTTGGTTTCCCAGATGCTAGTCTGAAGATGAGAGTTGAGGGGGCTTTCTTTTCCCTTTGTGTGTGTGTGTGTGTGTGTATAATACTCATATATTCACCCCCAGAGGAAGCTGTGCTTGGGAGTAAGTGTTTGCCTTTGTGAGCGGTATTATGATACATAATTAACTCTAGGATCTCACTTTTAAATACTGCTTTAAATAATGAGAGATTGTATACTAACTGTCTTGGAAACTGTAAGATTGGATTGAAGGTGAGGCAAAATATCAGTTCAATTTTGTTATATCAAGGGAAGTAGCAGTTTTGAAACATAAGCTGGAATCAGAGAGTAAATACATGAAATAAGAATGCACCTGTGTGATAATTTATTCCTTGTTGTCTTCTTTGCTGCTGTTCTTTAACAGACATGCAAATTCTGAAGACTGCTCTCCGTGTCCTTCCCAACAGAGGATTGTAATCAAGCTCATTATTTATCTTTATACTTGTTTTGGAACGCAGCCAAAATGAAAGATGTTCATTGGCAATCCATTCAGTTTCCATCCTGGCTGTTTATATATTATAGTACTGAGTATGACTTCATTAAATACCTCTGTTAGCATACACACCAACCAGCACAGTTGGTGCTTTTCATTTTGTCCCTTATTGTCAGTCCTTGGATCAGTTCAGACATCACACTAAGCCATGGTTTAAGAAAAGAAACAATGGTTAATGTGATCATCCAAATATGGGTCATTCCAATAATTATGATCAGTTATAGTCTGTCAAACCATGCCATGAATTGAAATCATGGTCTAAAGCTGAGTCTTAGCTATGGCTTCATGTGATGTATAAACATAAGACATCCTGCCTTGTTCCACAGTGGTGCCTTCATCATATATATGCTTCTTCCTCTTTTAGACTGTGGCTTTAGATTATGTGTGTGTGTGTGTGTGTGTGTGTGTGTGTGTGTGTGTCTTTTGGGGCCGGAGCACCACTCTGGGAACCCAGGAGCTGGCAAAACGGCTGTGGCAGGAATCCGCGCCCCCAGCTCCCCACACTACGGCCTGTCGCCGCCTTCCCGGGGCCCACGCTTTCCCTCCTTCTTTCTTTCTCTTTCTTTTCCTCTTTCCTCCCTTCTTTCCTTCTCTTTCTTTCACTCTTTACTTCCTTCGTTCCTTCTCTCAATCCCCAGATGTGCAGAAAAATCTGAAATCTATAAAAAACTATAGGGGGGATACTTAAATCCCCCCCAAAGTAAAAGAGCGTTCCCTGAGCATGCACACTGCTGGACCTCCTGATGGCACTGGTATTTCTGGCCACTGTGTGACACAGAGTGTTGGACTGGATGGGCCTTTGGCCTGATCCAACATTGGCGTCTCTTATGTTCTTATGTTCTTAACGCTCTGAGAACTGCCTCACTGCTGCCGCCACTGGGGGGGGGAGAAGGCTTGGTGGGCCGGCGGCTGTGAGCCGTTGAGGCCTTGCCGCTTGGGAGGGAGGGAGAAAACTTGGCAGGCAGGCCTCGCCACCGTGGGGGGGAAGAAAGCTTGGCGGGCCAGCAGCCATGAGCCGTTCAGGCCTCGCTGCTGCTCGGGGGGGTGGAGGGAGAAAGCTTGGCGGGCCGGCAGCTGTGAGCCACTCAGGCCTCGCTGTTGGTGGGGGAGGGAGAAGGCTGGGCTCACCTGCTGCTGCTTCTCCTGCTTCTGTAGGCTGGGAGCTGTGGGGAATATCCCCCCCCTTGCGAGTATTGCGGGTCCCACTTCTTGTAATTTGCTGAAATTGTACATATGAAAACCTCACATAAATTAGATAGAAATTATGGGGTTTTCCTTTTCTTTGATCATGAAGTAGCTAGCCTTCAAGAAGATACAGTGTTAGCTTTGTAAAGAACTAAGCAGGCAGTTATTATTTATTTATTTAATTTATTACATTTATACCCAGCCCTCCCCGCGAATGGGCTCAGGGCGGCTCACATAAGGCACCAAGTGCGTTCAGTATACAAAATTACATAATACAAAATACAAATTAAAACAAATTAAAATCAATTCTACGGATGCACATATAAACTCCCAACATCTTGCGTAGCAGGGGGGAAGGCTGGGGTGGTGAAAGGAAAAAGACCTGGCCCTTGTTGCCACAAGCTTGGCCTCCTTAGGGCCCGGCGTCACCAGCCGGTGTTGTGACCCCGACCGAAGTGCTCTTTGGGGAATATATAGGGAAATGCGGTCCCTCAGGTAAGTCGGACCCTGGCCATATAGGGCTTTAAAGGTAAGCACCAGCACTTTGAAGCGAATCTGGTATGCTATAGGCAGCCAGTGCAGCGCTTTCAGCACAGGTCGGTTGTGCTCCCAGCCCGGGACACCCACCAACAACCTGGCTGCAGCATTCTGCACCAGCTGTAGCTTCCGGATTTGCGTTGCAGTAGTCCAGCCTTGAGGTGACCGTCGCATGGATCACTGTAGCTAGGTCATTGCGGTCAAGGAAAGGAACCAACTGCCGTATCAGCCGAAGATGATAAAATGCCGATCTGGCAGTGGCTGCTACCTGGGCCTCCATCATTAAGGTAGGGTCTAGGAGCACTCCCAAACTCCTAACCTCCAAAGCTGGCTCCAAAGGTGCCCCATCGAAGGTCAGGAGTGGAAGCCCTAACCCCGATCCGGTCCGACTCAAGCACAGGACCTCCGTCTTCGCCGGGTTTAACTTCAGCCTGCTCAGCCCGAGCCACCCAGCCACGGCATTCTGATGTTACATTTAACCACTGTCAAGGAGAAATATGAACAAACTCAATGTGTTGCCAAGCTTATGTACACCTTTTGCATCTTCCCTCTTCATTCTCACATGGAGAAATGCAGTTTGAAAATGACAAATGAATGTAGGTTTCCATGTTAATCAGCATTAATTTTTTGTCCCTAATAAAGATTCTGGGCATGGATTTAAACTCCAGTTTAGAATCCCAGTTTGGGATGGGGAAAGAATTCAGTTAAAGCCACATGCCTGGATTCATACATCATGGGTATCCAAAATAAGTTTTAACTGCAGTTCTTTGTGCAGGAAGGAAGAAGCATCAAGACATACATACCCATCTGGCAACAAGATAGATTTGTACACATTTTCCTTAGCTGTAGTTAAATGTGAACAGAGCCTATGTTAACAGTGTTGGTTGGTGAACAGGTGCAGTAGCACAAAAGGGAAAAAAATATTGAGCATCAGTACTCCAGAAGGATTAGCATAGTTAAATTTCAGTCTAGGCTAATTTAATGAGGTACAAGATTTTGAACATACGTGTACCCTGGAAATAGACATACTAGAATTTGGTGCGGATTGGATTTCCCTGCCTTGCGCAACTTGTATGCTGCCTTATAGTCAAGGTAATAAATATCAAGTACACTAAATTGAGACTGAGGGCTGGAACTTTTGATCTATTACCAGAAAGTGCTTGTGGTCTTTCCCCTTCCACGGCAGCCTCCCTGTGACCCTCTAAAAGCCAATAATAGGGATCAAGAACCTACTGGACAAAATGCAGCACACTGCAGTGTGCTGCAGTGAGTGTGAATTATGTGAATTAGCCCTTCAACTGTTGTATGACTGCTCTGGTAAGCTGTCAATGCCTCCTGGTGTTTTCTCTATGAATCTCCTCTGACCTTCAGCATTGGCTTTTGGGGGGCTCACAAGGGGCTTCTGTGGGAAAGGGAAGGTCTCTGTTAGCAATTTGTAGGTGTTCATCTCCAACCTTTTCTAAATAATTTAAGATGAATTTTTGCTGCAGTCCTTGGTAACAAAAAATACTATTTTTATGGTTTTATTAAACAGTAAATACAAACTGTTGGAGTCAAGGTTAGAATCCACATTGAAGAAATCACTTGAAATAAAAGAAGAAAAAATTGCTGCTTTGGAAGCTCGGCTAGAAGAATCAACAAATTTAAACCAACAGCTGCGCCAGGAACTTAAAACAGTAAGGAGAACACTGTTGCTGTTGTTTCATTATGAGACATAAGATCCTAAACATAATTTTCAAATGTATGTAATTGAACTAAAATGTCTTTAACTAAATAATATTTTCTAAGATTTTGTAAAAATCTTGTATTTTGCAAAATACAAAAATGCATACTTTGTATATCTCTTTATATTGAAAATCAAAACTCTTCCTAAGTAACATCTGCTATTTCTCAAGGAAAATAATATATATAATTGATTTATTTCACATTAATTTATGAAGACTTACTTTTAAAATAATTATGTGTTTCTTTAACAAAAAGCATCTTGCATTCCTGGTGTAGCAAATCTTGACATCCCCCTTTTATTTTTTTGCTGGTAGCATTATTTGATGGTGGTGTTTGGTAATGCTGTGACCTGAACAGCCCACGTCAGATCTTGGAAACTAAGCAGGATCAGCCCTGGTTAGTGGTTGGATAGGAGACCACCAAAGAAGTCCAGGGTTCCTACGCAGCGGCAGGCTTTGACAAACCATCTCTCAGTGTTTTTTTCCTTGGCTACAACCTGTCTACAAAAAAAATTGTTCTGAACAGCTGACATTAGAGGTTGCAGCACATACTATTACTGATTCTTGTGGTAGCTTATTCCTGTAGGCATGTGAAATATGAATGGGGAGAGCAGAATAATAGACATTAGGTCACCAGACTACATCTGCAAGTAGTAGCTGTTTCAGTAAATTATCTCTCCTTGCTGTTCTCTGGAAATCTGCATTCAGTTGGGTAAATCTTTCCTTTTCGCCTTTGCCCTTCACTTTCCTTCTTTCCTCTGCTATTTGTAAAGCCTCATCAGACAGCCACTACCTTCCGACCTGAGGGGCTCATCTTCCGGCGTCATATCTTTTTGCCTTTTGATACTGTCCATGGGGTTTTCTTGGCAAAAAATACTGGAGTGGGTTGCCATTTCCTTCTCCAGGGGATCACGCTTGGTCTGAGTTCTCTGTTGTGGCCTGTCCGTCTTGGGTGGCCCTCCACGGCATAGCCCACAGCTTCATCGAACCACGCAAGCCCCCTCGCCACGACAAGGCAGTGATCCATGTGATCAGTAAATAGCTTGCTTTTATTTGGAAGCCAATAATAAAATACAGTTATTATAGTAGACACCATTTTGTTATTTCATACCAATTAAGGCCAAATGAGATGGGATGGCAGCAAATCAATGTATTAAGAGTACACTTTATCCTTAAAATCACTTTAAAATGTGCATGGGGTGATTTAAAGTTCATTAGGGATAGGAAGGAATGAAATGCCATATCCTTCCATTACCCACCCTTTGGAACTCTGTGGAACCACTTCCTCACATCTCATTTCTTCCTGTGAGGCTCAGACTTGAAATAAGTCCCATCAGATGGTTTTAAGAATGTGCATGTGAGTTAGGGAAGGGTTCAGCACCTACTTCCAGTTTTCAGCATGACCTCAGTGAGATCATTCTTTTAATTGGTCTGGTTTTTTTAATTGTGGTATAGTACTAATGGTTTAAGTGGAGTTCTTTTTAGTTGTGTACTACATTAGCACACTAGCCCCAAACATTTGTTGCAGTGTGTCTGCCTAAGATGTTGGTATGGTTTCACTGTAGCAATAGTATAATGGTGTTTTGTGATATTATACTGCCTTGATCTTGGGTATTGTCCCACTCTCAGCACTTCTGCAGTGATGTACGATGTCTTGGGATCCGGCAGTGTTGCACGCATCCCTATTTGTATCTTATCTTTCGCATTGCGTAGCTGTGGGAACTGTCAACACAAGGAAGAGAAGAAATATCTATAAAAGTGTTCATCTTCTGTCAGCCAATGTATTTTAGTATACGATTTACATGTCTAAAATTGAATTGATTTTCTAGGTTAAAAAGAATTATGAAGCACTCAAACAAAGACAAGAGGAGGAGAAAATGGTACAGAACTGTTCTCCAAGAACTGGAGAAGAAAGTCAGTCTATTAATAAATGGGAGAGAGAAAGTCAGGAAACTACTAGAGAACTTTTGAAGGTTAAAGATAGATTAATTGAAGTTGAGAGAAATGTGAGTAGTGATTGTAATTATTTTAGTTAAATTTGTTCAGCTGTATGTATGCATCTGCTTTGTATAAAAATCACTTCAGCAAATTTGTACAGCAGTGTCTATCTTCTGCTGCCTGTTTATGAGTTTTTTCTGTGGCCACCCCAGTGTTGCAGAGCAGCCTCCTAGAGGAAGTCAGAAGATCTACTTTTCCTTTGCAGTGTTTGATGGCTTGCAAAACAGAACTGTTAAGAAGAATTCTTGACTCTTCAGCAATACTCCCTCTAAGCTGTGGAGTCTTGTGAGCAAAAATTCTACTTTGTGAGCTATTGACATTAAAGTTGTGAGCAAGCGAATTGGCTACTGCATAAATTAGTTTGCTCTGGAGCCATCCTTCCTGAGCTAATACAAAAATGTGTGAGCTGGAGGCTAAAAAGCTGTGAGCTAGGTCACACTAACTCAGCTTAGAGGGAAGACTGCTCTTCAGATAATTGCTTTGTGGGCTCCTTGAAAGACCATGGTCTTTAGTTTTAATTCTGTTCTTATAATTATTGTATGTTGTGCTCAGGGGTCGTTTCGTAGAAAAAGAGCTAGGGGAACTCATTAGCATAGCTCATTAGCATATGCCACACCACCTGACATCACCGGAAGTGTGTCATAAGGCCACACCCCCTGACATCACCGGAAGTGTGTCATAAGGCCACACACCCCGCTCCCAACGGTCCCGGCCGCTGCCACCGGCCTTGCAGCTCCACTGCTGAGCCCCATGAGGGGCCCGGCGGTGGACCTGCAAGGCCGGCGGGTGTGCAAGGAAGCCCCGCGAAGGCCCTCCCTGGCCCCAGGCAGGCAGGGGTGGGGAGAGGCAGGGAGGAAGCAACTTACCCTCCCTCTTCTCCTGCCTCCTCCTGGCTGAATGAGGGCCGGAAGCAGGGCGGCCGGAAGCAGGGGGCGGGGCTTCGTCATGTGCCCCGCCCCCCATACCTCACCCGGGGGAACTGCGATCCCCCGCATTCCCCCCCGAAATGACCTCTGGTTGTGCTGATGTTGTTACCTGCCTTGGGTCCTAGTTATCTGGGAGAAAGGTGAGATTATAAATGTTTTAACCAAATATGTCAATTGAATTGATATGGGAAAATAATGCCCTAATGACTGATAGTATAATAGAATATTATATTTCTAAAAATACATTTTCTTGGAAATAAATCACATTTATTTCAGAGCAACTTACTGCAAGGTAAGTGTGTTATTGCCATTCTGTCGTGTTTTTCTATGGATTATACTTGGAAGAGAAGCTGCTGGCCTATTAATGTGAGCCGTTCAAAGCATTGAACTATAAGAACTATAGTTCTTATATAAGAACGGATTCACTAAAGAAAGCTACTGGTAGTTGCTAGTACTCAGAGGTAAGGCATGCTTTCTTGATATACAGTAGATTACATATATAATTTTTAAAAAATTCAGTTCTCCAATGATGAATTACAACATTTTTCAAGCAAAATGATTTCCTGTATTGGGTATGCTGGGAAGCTGGTACTAATTTTACATTCTGAGCCATACGTAGCCATAGATTGATTTTTGTATATGCTTATGAAAATTCTAGCCAACTCATAAACTAGTATTTCCAGGCACAGAATTACATCATCCATATGTAATATTACATATATGTAATATGAGAGCCAGCATGGTATAGTGGTTAGAGTGTTGGACTAGGATCTTGGAGGCTCAGGTACAAATCCCCACTTTGCCACAGAAACTTGCTGGGTGACCTTGGGCCAGTCACACACTCTCAGCCTATCCTACCTCACAGGGCTGTTGTAAGAATAAAATGTAGGTGAGGAGAACCATGTAAGTGACTTTGGGTTTCCATTGGGGAAAAAGTGGGATAAAAATAAAGTAAATTAAAAACTATTATTTGCTTGACTATCGCCTTGTGCATAGCAAAGTTCTTGCTTTGACTAAGTTTGTAGTGTTGAGATTTGTGTGCAGAAAACACACATTTTTTATTTTGGAGACTCTCACTTTATACATTGGAGAGACATTTTTGTGTGTCTTCCCCTAGTGTAGCATTCCATAAATCTTTCTTGGGGTCTAGGCATAAATGATCAAAAACTAATGGGGGTGACTCATATAAATCTCAAGATTCCTAGTCATTCTTTCTCTGGTACCTTACTCCCATTCTTGCACAATTCAAATACCATCAAGACAAATTGTATTACTTAAATATATTTAGGCTTTCTTGCATTGTGTGATTCCTTATTACTGTAATACTTGTATTATTTGTAGACTGTTTTTGTATTGAGTCCAGCCTTGAATAAAATGCATGTTTTGTTGATCTAGGCAGTGCATGCATTTACTGTATTTTTATTTATTTATTTTTTTAAAGAATGCAACACTGCAGGCAGAGAAGCAAGCCCTGAAAACACAACTAAAGCAACTTGAGACACAGAACAATAATCTGCAAGCTCAGATTTTGGCACTTCAGAGACAGACAGTTTCCTTACAAGAGCAAAATACAACTCTACAAACTCAGAATGCCAAGCTTCAGGTTCTGTTTTTATAAATATTTATTTGTTTGTTTATTTATTCATTAGATTTCTATCTCGCCCTCCCGCCAAAGCAGCTCAGGGCGGCTTACAACAATTATAAAACCAGCATAAATACATACATAAAATACAACTCAATAAAATAGCTCAGGTCATTTCCAATTAAATAAATAAATACAGTTAAACCATTTAAATGTGGCGGTGTCGTATAATAAAGTGCAAGTGCAGCACAGCCGATATAGGGTCTTTCCTACTGAAACGCCCAGCGAAAATGCTCCGTTTTCGTGGCTCTGCGGAATTGCTGGAGGTCCTCAGGCAGGGCTCTGATTTCGCTGGGGAGCTCATTTGATAAACATTAATCTTACAAGTAAAGACTTGACTGTTAACCACATTCATTTGAGATTTATTGAGGGGGGAGAGTAAGCATAATTCTCACATATATATGTTCCTCATGGATCATGATTGTGCATGATTTCACAAACAAGAAAGTAGGGCCACTGGGTAGTCTCTTGCTCCGTTTTGGTTCTCTCTCTCTCTTTCTCTGTATGTTTGCTATTCCTTAAAAAGTCATCTGTTCTTCATTCTTGGTTGCTGTCTCTTATGTAGGTTTTACTTAAGTGGTGCAGAATGGGGGCTTTCATCTTGCAGTGTTCTACAGTTCTAGCTTGTCTTTTCAGACCAGAACCAAATCTGTTCCCACCCCATACACCTTGGTTTTGGGATCAGAGCTGTGATGTTTCCCATTCTGTTGTACTATTTTTAAGGACCTTATTTATTTTTCAAAATTGCTCCTCTTACATTTTGCAACAGTTGGTGTTAGAGAGGTAAAGGAGAACATATTGGAAACAAAATATAGAATTCTTTAGGGGAGAAATCTGAATAATCTTGTTTTATGTATCTGTATGCTGTCCCCCATTTTTTGGGGGGGGGATTGCGGTAGAGAAGTAGATTACATACTTTGACCATCTAAGGCCCTTGTTTGATTTTCAGCTGATCTGAAAACTGTTAATTATGTTAGCTTAGATGAGCTGTTTCGCTAATTATGTATATATTTATTCTGATCTAGTTTATTTAAAAGGGTTTTATTATCATGGTTCAATGCCTTTGTCATTCTTGCAGGTAGAAAATTCCACTATTAATTCACAAAGTACATCTCTTATGAATCAGAATGCACAGCTGCTGATTCAGCAGTCTGCCTTAGAAAATGAAAATGAATCTATAATTAAGGAACGAGAGGATTTGAAATCACTGTATGATTCACTAGTCAAAGATCACGAGAAACTGGAACAGCTTCATGAACGGCAAGCTGCAGAATATGAATCTTTAATTTCTAAACATGGAAATCTTAAGTCAGTGCATAAAAACCTTGAAATGGAACATAAGGACTTAGAAGACAGGTAATTACCCTGTATCTGTTCCCTTTTATGACTAAATCTGGAATTCTGTATGTTTTCAATATCATTTTATATTGAATAATGAAAATAAAAACTTTTTAACGTTACATTAAAATGCTTAAAATGCAGAATCTGGCATTTGAAATCTTTTTTTTACTTAATACTTGAAAATAGAATTATATTATGAATTAACTTTACAGATATAATCAGCTGCTGAAACAAAAAGTGCAATTAGAAGAACTGGAGAAAGTTCTCAAAGCAGAACAAGAGAAGATGGTACAGCAGAACAAAAAGCATGAAACTGTAGCTGCAGAATACAAAAAGCTTTGTGAGGAAAATGACAGGTAATGAAGCATGAATAATTGTCTGTACTTTTATGTATTATTACATATTCTGACCATATTTTGCATTGTTAAGGGTGAGAGAGCATTTTATGACCCTCCAATATATGGTAGTTTCTGCTCACACTAATGGCAAGCTGCTGCTACCACAAGTGGAGGTAGTAAACACAGGCTGCCATCTGTATGAAGTGGCTACCATGTGCAAATACGTTATGAAGGTAAGCTCTTGGTTCCATCGGCACAAGTGGCAGTTAGAGCCAGTCAAATGTGACATCACATGCTCATGTGAATCATCCTTGTCAACTGAAACATCATAATGTATGAGTGAAATAATCATGATTTTTGACAGGCAGCATCTGTGGTCACATACAGGCACCATTTCTCTATGGAGGGCAATAATGTGAAAATAAGTGTGGCATTCAACTAGGTAAACTCAATGAGATTAGAAACCTTGTTTTGGTGAGAAGATAGGAAAGATAATTAAATATGGTAGTCTACAAAGCATATAGCTCAAACAGGAAAGTGTCACGGCAGGACCAGGGGGCGTGACGCAAGCAAGCAAAAGTCCAGGAACAGTCCGAGGTCAAGCCGGGCAAATCAGGTAGCAAGGTTCAAGCAGGTTTAAATCACAGTCCAAAAGCAGGGTCAGACATACCAAAGTTTCAAGTCCATAAATCACAACGATACCAGAGGAGTCAGAGATGAACGTAGCTTTTTTGGGTTCAGCTATACTGGTAACCGAATACAGAACTGTGATCTGTAGTCGGCTTATGTGATACCCGAATGCACACCCCTAGTGACAGAGTGAGCTCCTGTCTCTGGCCCCAGCTCCTGCCAAACCCCCAAGCAGCCACATTCTCGCATAACTTTCCTAATGTGATGACGTTACCTGGAAGGGACATCATCACGTCAGTGATGTCATGGGGGACACTCAGGTTTGAGGGCAAAACTCTATGGTAAATATGCCCTGTATGGTAAATATGCTATCAGATCAACGACACAATGATGTTACTTCCAGGTGACATCATCACGTCATCCCCACCCCCTCCAGGAACGCCCCCCAAATCCCCCCGCTGGCATCAAGGTAGGATCTGGCAACCCTACTTCATATTGTGCATTTTGAGTGACTGAAACCTTGTCTTAGAAAGTATTTCCACTCATTTTGAAGGACAAAATAGTTCTTAGAAATGCTTCCCCCCCCATCCAATTTTTCTGTTGGAAAAACTGAAAAAAACTTTGGGGGGTCCGTCTTTTCCCCAGTCCTTCACATATCTACACAGGACACACTTTAATTTTGGAATAAAGGTTTTCGTTTATCCCTAGCTGACAGATTACAGTAATAGATTTGGAATACAAATTAACAAGAAATATTGGGAAAGTATCAATGTATCAAACCAAGAGTGAAAAATATTATTTCATTTTTAGATAAATAAAGCAGATTTTCTTCATACGCACTGGTGTTGTCCTATTACAAAGAAACTCCAGAAAAGTACATGGAAATGTCTAAGATTATCCCAGGATATTTATTCCTATGGACCTAACTTGGGGGAAACGAAGAGCTTTGTTGAAATATGAAACATGGAATTTAAACTTTAAGACAGCACTTAAAATGAGTGTTGCTTTTTATTGGGAATTAAAAAACAATTCCAGTGAAAATTGAGTAGCTATTAAGAATCTGAGATGTTACAGCAATAAGAAAACTAACAATGTCAGGAAATAGATCAAGAAGGGTAGTGTTAGTCTGTCTGTAGCAGTAAAAAAATTCCAGTAGCACCCAGTGCTACAATAGCACAAAAATTCCAGTGGCTGCGAGAGTTAGACTATAAGGAAGGCCGAGCACCGAAGAATAGATTCTTTTGAATTATGGTGCTGGAGAAGATTCTTGAGAGTCCCCTGGACTGCAAGGAGATCAAATCAGTCAATCCTAAAAGAAATCAACCCTGACTGTTCCCTGGAAGGCCAGATACAGAAGCTGAAGCTCAGATACTTTAGCCACCAAATGAAAAGGGAGTACTCACTGGAGAAGATCCTGATGCTGGGAAAGATTGAAGGTAACAGAAGAAGGGGATGGCAAAGGATGAGATGGCTAGACAGTGTTATCGAGGCAACAAACATGAAATTAAGCAAAATCCGGAGCACGATGGAAGACAAGAGGGCCTGGTGTGATGTGGTCCATGGGGTCGCGAAGAGTCGGACTCGACTGTGCGACTGAAAAACAACAAAGCACCCTTAAAGATTACCAAAATTTGTGGCAGGGAATGAGGTTTTGTGAATCATTGCTTTGAAGAAGTGAGCGGTGATTCAAGAAAGCTCATACCCTGCCACAAATTTTGTTAAACTTTAAGGTACTCCTGGGCTCTTGCTCTTTTCTAATGTCAGGAAATAAATCCAAGTTAATTAAAATCATTTAAATATTAAGATTCTGAAAAAAGTGTATAATGATAATATAAATCTTTCCTCCTTCCTCTACTGCCATTAATTTAACAAGAAGATGCACACAATTTTATTTGAGTTATATTTATGATTTTTTTACCTATTAGAGTTCTATATGAACATATTTAAACTTTTTTTTCATAGACTTTTTAATTTTTTAATATACAACTTAACTCCGCTTATACATATATTCATTTTGTAAGAATTTAAACTCTTTAATATATTTTTGTATTTATTGTATTTTAATATATTTTAAATAACAGGTTAAATCATACATACACCCAGCTTTTGAGAGAGAATGAAGTTCTCCAAATGGATCATAAGAATTTGAAAACACTTCTGAACAATTCTAAACTGGAACAAACAAGATTAGAAGCTGAATTTTCCAAGCTCAGAGAACAGTACCAGCAACTGGATATTAAGCATACAAAACTGAATAATCAGTGTGAGGTAATGTGTTTGCATTATTAAAAAAAACACTATTACAGCCCTATGAATTCACATAAAATGCATACAGCATTCTTAGACTTAGATTATATCTATATGGCAGGAGTGGAACAGTTAAAACAGCGAATTCTAGTGGTTTTGAAGATGGCCTCTGGAATATTGCTGTAGAACCACAATCTTATTTAAAAACATGTTTATTGACCTTTACTTCAAGTGTTACGTGATTGTTAATCATTTCAGTTAGTGATTTTAAGCATTGCCAGACTATTGGAAGTCAGGAGCAAGTTCAGTTCTTATTCAGTAATTAGGTAGAACAAGTGAGGGGCCTGTAAATACTTGCAGGGGGTATCTCCTCCCCCACTATTTCTCTCTTTCCCTTTTGTCCCTTCCATGAAAGCCCCTGTAGCCTTTCCCCTATTCCTGCTTCCTTCTCTTCTTTCCACCCCAAACCTGCCCTACTTTTATCTACCCTCTATCTTCAGCCTCCTTCCTTCCCTTGGCAGCCTCTCCCTGGGAAAAAAATTGACCAAGTTTTGAAATGTCAGTGGGCCTGGCCCAGTTGTGCAGTGGGGAACCTGCAGGGGCTTGTGGGGGGCACTTCACTTTTCCCTGTATCCCCATCCCACACTACCTCATCTTTCCCTCCTCCTGGCAGCCCCCAATACACTGACCATTCCACGCATCCTTCTGTCCTTCCCATCCACTGACCAACTTACCTTTTATCTGCCACCCATTTATTTTCTTAATTTATACCCTGCCTTTTTTCCCAATGGGGATCCAAAGCAGCTCACATAATTTCCCTGTCTTCCATTTTATCCCCAAACTAACCCTGTGAGGTAGCTTAGGCTGAGAGTGTGACCAGCCCGAGGTTATCCAGTGAGCTTCTGTGGCAGAGTGGAGATTCGAAAGTAGCCCTGTTCACAAGTTACAGTGAACATATGTACAGTGTACACTTGATAGCTCTTTATATGTGTGTTGAGTAATCTCATGTTACTGTCAATGTATATACAGCAAATTGTGTAATAGAAATCCCACATGTATTCAGGTGCTGGTCCCCAGCTGGTTTTACTTGTAAAGTTCACCTGTGTTGACTCTTTGTTACAAACAGATGTATTTATTTATTTTATATTTATTTATTATTTGGATTTGTATTCCGCCCTCCCCGAAGGCTCAGGGCGGCTAACAAGGGCAAATGCCAGATTGCAACAATAAAATAATATAAATACAGTAATACAAAATACTACAGTTAATTAAAATTAGTAAAGAATAAAATATTGGTGCTCCAATACTCCCTCCGAATCGTAAAACCAAGGTGGTGTTCTGAAGGTGTTACAGCTGAACCACAGCAGCAGCATATGTCCCCACAACCCTGTCGTCCACTAGGGACGTCCTGCACCCCCAATGATACCCGCACCAGCGGTGGTAGAGTGCGGTGATGGAAAGGCGTTGATGGCATAGTGGTGGTGGTGGCTCCTACTCGAAAGCCTGGCGAAAGAGCTCCGTTTTACAGGCCTTGCGGAATTGCCCCCTCCCCACTCCCCTTCACTGAAAGAAATGAAGGTTTGCAGGTTGGCAATACTGTTGTGACTGCCTACCATGCTGAGAACATTTAATTTCTTCATGTTTCTGGCACTGCATCTGTTGTTCTGATGAGTTTAAACCCCCCCACACACACACCACTGTATATATATATATATATATATTTGGATTTTTCTGCAAAGCCTAAGCTCTTCTCAGGTGTATAGGTACTGTTTTATCGATCCATGGCCCCAGTCTCTGGATTTAAGTATTCACATATATGGCCATGTTGAGAATTATCTCTATTGATATTGTATTCATTTTTTCTTTAAATCTCTATCTGTAGCAGAGCTAGACATTTTGTGAGAATTTTGTTTAAATGAAATCTGAGAATTCTAGAAAGAGCCTGAGATATCTCTAACCAGAGCTAGGTTCCTGCTGCCTTCTTTCCTTTTGGCTGTAAAGCCTCTCAGATGCACTTGTCAGTAGTCAAAAGGACACTCGGACCTGAACTGAAACTGCAAGGCTCCTGCTTTGCTTGGAATGACAATGGGCAACAAGTAAATTTTCCAAATGCAACCTTTTATTATATTATTTGTTTCCTAAGTTTGTCTATACTGTCTAGAGTACAAGTAGTTACGGGTGTTGCTTATACTAAAATACAATGTTGTACATTTTTAACAGTTGCTTAGCCAGTTGAAAGGAAACTTGGAGGAAGAAAACAGGCATCTGTTGGATCAAATACAAACATTAATGCTACAAAATAGAACATTATTGGAGCAGAATATGGAAAGTAAAGATCTTTTCCATGTTGAACAGAGACAGTATATGTAAGTACCTTAAAAAGGTGAACCAGTTGTATATGACATAATTGCAAGTGGATTGTCAAATTGAAATAAATTATTAACATTTTATATATTTATTTATTCAATTTGTATCCAACCCTCCCCCAGTATTGTGAGGCTCAGAGCGGGTCACAACATGTAATAACAAAATTGGAATACAGTTTTAAAAAAACCCAATTTCAAACATTTACAGACATTTACAGATTATCAGATGGCGCATAATAACACTATGACGCTGACCTAGGAAAAGAAAAGGGGAGGAAAAGGCAGGAGAGATTATATAGGTAGGAGTTCTCCTGACCTCACCCATATGTTTGGTGGTACATTTCAATTTTACAGGCCCTGCAGAACTGTACCAAGTCCCACAGGGCCTAGATTTCATTTGGAAGCGCATTACATCAAGCTAGAGCTACAGCCGAAAAGGCTCTAGCTCTAGTTGAAGCCAGGCGAATACTCCTTGGTCCTAGGATCGTCAGTGTGTTGTTGTTCAAGAGCGTGGGGCTCTTTGGGGGGTACACCAGGAGAAGTGGTCCCAATGAGATGTTGATCCCAGACCGTGAAGGGCTTTAAAGGTTAAAACCAACACCTTGAACTTGATCCAGTACTCAGTCTGGAGCCAGTGCAGCTGATGGAACACTGGTTGGATATGGGCTCTGATAGGGGTTCCTGTAAGGACCCGCGCTGCTGCATTCTGAACCAGTTGAAGTTTCCAGGTCAGCCTCAAGGCTAGCCCTACATAGAGCAAGTTACAGTAATCTAGTCTGGAGGGTGACCATTGCATGGATCACTGTGGCTAGGTCAGGGCAAGATACAAAGGGTGCCAGTTGCTGGGCTTGGCATAGGTAGAAAAACGGCAGCCTGGTCACATTTGTGATCTGGGCCTCCATTGAAAGGGAGGCATCCAGAATCACACCCAGACTCTTCACTGTTGGTACTGGTGTTAGAGGAGCATTGTCCAGAGTCAGGAGTTGGATACCCAATCCCAGGACTCCCTTCCCCAGCCACAGGACCTCCATCTTTGATGGATTTAATTTCAGCCAGCTCGGCTGCAACCATCCAGCCACAGCCTCCAATCCTTTAGCCAGATTTTCTGGGGCAGCATCCGGCCGTCCATCAACAAATACAGCTAGGTGTCATCAGTGTTTTTTAAAAAAAAATTAAAACATTTTTTTAAAAGTTGTGAACTTTCTAAAAACTCTAAAATGCTCTGAAGCTGCTTCTCCTTGAACACAGAACTGATATGTGTGACTGTACAGGTGACCATTCCAAAATATCAGTTGCAATATATCTTTAAGGAGCATTCCAAATTATTATTAAAAAATACTCACTTAATGCATTACTATTTCAGTGCCAATAGCATGTTAATCCAGCACAGTGACTGGATTGGCAAGCTAGCCTTTCTGTGGGGGACATTTATATTAGTGTTATTATTGATTACTTATTTTAAAAACAAATAAGAGAGAGGGAATATGGAACTTTTAGAAAACAAAAGTAAAAAATTGAACTAAAGTTTAAGATTTCTTAAATCGTAGGGCAGAGGTGTCAAACTTATTTGTTATAAGGCCCGGATCTGACATAAATTAGACCTTGTTAGGCTGTGCCATGTGTGTCATAAAATGTAATGCTAGGTTGTTGTTGTTCAGTCGCACAGTCGAGTCCGACTCTTCGCGAAACTTTATAAAGGACACAAACAAACACAATTAAAGATTTTTTCTTTAAAAAACCTTTTTTAAAACATTAGCAGTATGTTTGTTTTTTAAAAATAAAAATTGTACTTTAAAAAAAACAAAAAAAAAACCATTAGCACTTGCAATATTTTGTTTATTTAACAGTCTCTGGTAACTGATACCTCTTGCTCTGATTTATTGCATCAAAATATCTGTGCTGTAGCAATCTTGAGTATGCTGTTCAGGTGTGTATCTGTAAGCTGCAAACCTACTTTTGATTTATTGACATTCATTACAGAAATCTCATGGTCAGTGCTCTGAGCCTAGGACTTAGAGGAAAACATGAAATGGCTGGGCATTGCAAGCTTTTGTACATAAATTGCTTCTCGTGCTGGTCAAGAACATGTGAAGGCATCATGACACAGAATGAAGGCTATATGTTTGTCGACAAAACTATAGTCTTCCCAAAAAAATAACTGCAACTCCTATGAGGCAGTGCAAGAACAGAGAGACAGCCATGTATAGTGGTCAGTATCAGCCTGCAATCTGGGAAGTCTAGGGTCAAAATCCCCAGTCTACAAAGGAAGTGTGCTGGGCGAACTTGGTCTGGACACACTCTCTCAGCCTAATCCACCTCACTGGCTTGTTGTTATTCCTCATCTAAATAGTTCATATTGCTTTCTTACTGAGAAAGACTGGATCATGAGGGCATGAATACATTGATAAAGGGGAGGCAAACCCAGTTGCATCCAGGAGAGCCACAGCATAACAAGCCCAACAAAACACACACACACTGTAGCAAGGCACACAGAAGTTTGTTGGTCATAAAGATGCTTTGTATTCCTCCCGTGCGATTGAGGCAGCCAAGCAAAGGGGAAGAGTCTCAGTCAATGGAAGGGAAGAAAGGCTTGCCTTTGTCTCCTGTGTTATTAAGGGAACCAGAAAGCAAGCTCTGACTCGTTCCCTTCCTCCCCATGGAAGGAGGAGGGGGAGGAGCCTCAATCAATGCAGAGAACAGAGGCTTGCCTATCTATGTCTTCTGTGCGATTGAGGGAGTCTGGCAAAGGCAGCTGCAACGCAGCAGTAGCAGAACTGAAGAAGGAAGCAGGAGAGAGCCAGTTGCTCAGTGGCTGGATAATAGCCCTGTGGGAGCCAGAGCCAGTCTATGGGCCAAATGTTTGACACCCCTGTGGTAAGGCATTTCTTTTGTAGAACAGAGTTCATGTTAGTTTTTCATTTTAAAATATATATGTACGCTCTTAGGCTGGAGTGGTTCCACAGGGAGTGCTCAGCCTCTAATGACCTTCTTAAAAGTGAAAATATTTTTGAACAGTCACAAAATGGTTCAAGGTTTGACTACTGAAACACTTTCTTTGTAGGGCTTTGAGGACCTGTCTAGAAACTGGTTCAGAAAGCAACAGCCAAAACAATGACTGAGTGTTAATGAAATATACCAACTGCACTGGCTTCCAGTGTATTTCCAGTCTCACTTCAGTGCTATTTTTGACCTTACTCATCCACATTCTGCACAGTGCATCCAGTTCCCTAGAAATAAAATATTACCATTAGAGTGCTGGAAAATTAAAACCAAGAATATCTAAAAAGGCCCTGAAATGTTTGAACATAAAATTCACAGAAAAGAAAACTCTGTAGATACATAAATAACTTTTAAAATGTATATCTATTTTTCCTCACAGTGACAAGCTAAATGAATTAAGAAGACAAAAAGAGAAATTGGAAGAAAAGATTATGGATCAGTATAAGTTTTATGAACCATCACCGCCAAGAAGGTAATATAATATCACTAATGTAAAGAAAATGTCTTTCTTCTTGAAGGTGATTCATTTCTACAAGTCTATCAGAAAAATGTCCATGCATTTTAGTTAGAGAAATTATTTTTAATAACAATGCAAGAAGGTCAATGTGATTTGAAATGTGATTCTAAAATTAGTATTTCTCTTTATATCTTTGCAAGGAGGGGTAATTGGATTACTCTGAAAATGAGGAAGCTGATAAAATCTAAGAAGGATGTTAACAGAGAACGTCTCAAGTCTCTTACTCTGACACCTACCCGCTCAGAATCTAGTGAAGGATTTCTTCAGCTGCCCCATCAGGATAGTCAAGATAGCTCTTCGGTGGGCTCAAACTCACTTGATGATGGTCAGACCGTGGGGACCAAAAAAAGCAGCAGTGAGTAAATTGCTTAATTTTAATTAGAAGCAGTATCTGATATAATCTGATGGTAATCCCATTTGGGGAAAAACCCCTCAGAACATTTAGGGGAAAGGTTGGTTTAGAAATAACTTGATCACCTTCTTGCAGAATGGGGAATTAAGCCCTACAGCAGATGAATATTCTTAGTATGTATAAGGCAGTGGTGGCGAACCTATGGCACGGGTGCCAGAGGTGGCACTCAGAGCCCTCTCTGTGGGCACACGTGCCATCGCCCCAGCCAGGCCCAAACCATAATTAAAGTGTCGAATTCTCTGCCAAATAATTTTAAGTAAATGAAAGCATTTGGGATTGCTTTCCTGACTTTGTTTGGATCATCTTAAGTTAATGTATGAGTTGTTTTTTCTAAAGTAAATCCTCAGTATTCAGGTTAAATTGCCGTGTTGGCACTTTGCGATAAATAAGTGGGTTTTGGGTCGCAGTTTGGGCACTCGGTCTCTAAAAGGTTCGCCATCACTGGTATAAGGGCTGCACTATTTAAATGAGCAATTCTGAGAGCTAAAACTAGCAGGTGAAAAATTGGCACCTGTCCTTTACCCGTAAACATTGCTCCCTTTTCTCCTGTTTCTTCTCATCTATTCATAGCATTTCTCCCTTTGTGTGTGTAGATATCCTTATGACATGCTTCCTTACTAACATCCTTTCATTGTTTCTGAATTGATCCTGGGATTTCTGCATGTTCATGGGCAGCTAGTCCCCTGATGCCATTGGCACAGTGGGACACTCTCTCCAGCCTTGCATGGGGGAGGCACAATGCTGAATCATCTACCTGTCTCCCAAAGCTTTATGGTGGCCCATAGGCCAGGGCAGCAGGGTGACCAGGAGTTATCATAATATGGAAATCCATCTTCTGTAAGCACTTTATATAGTATTTGAAAACAAACCATCTGGCACCGTGATATCTCTTTTTCATACAACTTCAGAATGCTTTGTGCCATCACTGCATTGCACTAAAGTACACTAGTATGGGATGTGTGAAATCCAGTATTTTCTTAAATCTTCACCCCACATATTGTAAAACAGAATATTGTGTTGTTAAGTTGTTTGACTAATGTTTTTAACTAGTATCTCATAGAAAATGATAATTACAGGCAGTATGGATAGAAAGGAGTTCAGACAACCAAACTTGGACATATCATTTGATAAGGTTTACTTCATTGATAAACTGCTGAATTCACATGAGAAATCTCAATTTATGACTCTTGAATGAAGTTATAAACTTACACAGTTCATCATAATTGCAGCCAAAATAATAGTTTTGTGGAACCTTAAAGACTAACAAATCAGTTATGGCATGAGCTTTCACGAGTCAGAACTCAATTAATCAGATGCACGAAGTGTTCACTTGACACAAGTATACAACCAGAAATAACAGACAGTACAAAGCAAGGGGGAAGTTACTTCAAAGAACTGCCTTGAGAACCTTAGTAGAAAGAGTTCAGAAGGCCCAGTTACCTAGGGCAAGATGTGATATAATGCTATCATGTGGAAACAATGCCCTCTGCCTTTTGCTTGGGTCAAACTGGACAGTCTCTGTGCAAGAGAATAAATGGACACAAGTCAGACATTAAAAATGGAAATGCTCAGAAACCTGTGGGGAGGCATTTCAGTTTCCTTGGACATTCAGTAAGGGTTATAGTACTTCAGCAGAAAAGTCTAGAATGGAGACTCCAGTTAGAAGCTGCTAGTTTGGAATTTGGATACAGGTTTAATGCTGTCAGACTTGGACACAACAGAGACTTGGGATGCCTAGCTCACTAAAAAAGTAATTGTTGTTCCTTGCAGGTTTATTTATACTTTTCAGATTCATCCTGTTTTACCAGTTCATCATGGTCAACATCCAATTTGTACTCTTGCAATGGTGTACTCTTTTGATGGAATCTTTTTTTAATCTGTGTTCTGCCTTGTAATGTTGCACAAAATTGCACTGTGCCTTCTAAACTCTCATCACCTTTCTGCTAATTGTAACTTTTGGATATAAATCTCTCAGCCAACTGAATGTAACATTTAACATATCTGATGGTGCAAGCTTCAACTCACAAAAGTTTAATTCTGTAGTGTTTAAGGTGCCGCAAGATTATTTGTTCTTTCTGCTGCAACAAATTATCATAATTACAGTTATCATAAGATGAATGTGGTCATGAATGGGGCCTAAATGAACAATTTTATGAATTCTTGGAATCAGCAGGGTCTGCATAGCTTTGTTTTTAGGTACATTGTCTTGTTGTTCCTTGATGTGTGAAACAACTAATTTATGGCATTGGTAAATTCTGTCATACCAGTGAAGTAGGAGAGACAGTGCATTAAGATTTTGTTAAAGTGAGGGGGTTGTATTACATGGTACAAAATGTATATGTTCAATATTTGGTTTCTCTGTTACCCTTTTTTTAGAAAAATAACTAAACCAAAATTATGCTTTTTATTATAGAGATTTCTATGCAAACTGATTAAAACCAGTTTGGTGACATGGTTAAGTGCGGGGTCTCTAATCTGGGAGAACTGGGTTTGATTCCCCACTCCTCCACTTGCAGCTGCTGGATGACCTTGGGCAAGCCATAGTTCTGTCAGAGCTGTTCTTGAAAGAGCAGTTCTCGACAGAGCTCTCTCAGCCCCACCTACCTCACAGGTTGTCTGTTGTGGGGAAGGGAACAGAAAGGCGATTGTAAGCCGCTCTAAGACTCCTTCAGGAACTGAAGGGCAGGGTATATCCAATCTCCTCCTCCTCCTCCTCCTTCAACAATGTTGATATTTTTACAGTTTTAAAGTACTCTTAAATGTTTCACTGGTTGTTTATTTTGTAGTATAGGCAGAAGCAAGCAGTGAGACAATTCTCTGGGAACTGTCAACCACCACTATGGGGCAGTCAGGGGAAAAGGGAAAGCATGTCCTTACTAGTAAGCATCAGGTGGAGACGGTGGTAGAGGGAGAGAATAGTTCCATCAGCCACTCTCCAGTCACACAGTTGCTAACTGGCTAGCAGCCCTAGCACATGCTGACGCTATTGAGGCTGCCAGTCAGCAACTGCCTTCTTGCACAGTGCTGACTGGGCTGCAGTCATCTTTATTATTATTATTATTTATTATTATTTAGATTTCTATCCCGCCCTCCCCGAAGGCTCAGGGCGGCTTACAGGGCAAAGTGCCAAATAAAACGATAAAACAATACAAAATGTTAACTTACATAACAATTAATAAACAGTTAATAACATAATAAAACATTTTTGGTGCTCCTCTATTCCGGTTCCGATGTTAAGATTTTTAAAAGCAAGATGGTGTCCTCAATATCCTAGCTAGGCAGCTACAGCAGTGCGTATCCCCACTGCCTTGCCTTCCCCTACAAATGTCCTGTTCCCACCCATGATACTCGCATCGTGATGGCCATATACGGAAATCATAGGGCGTTGGTGATACAGTGGTGGTGGCGGCTCCTATTCAAAAGCCTGGCGGAAGAGCTCCATCTTACAGGCCCTGCGGAACTGTACTAGGTCCCGCAGAGCCCTGATCTCCTCTGGGAGCTCATTCCACCAGATAGGAGCCGCCACCAAAAACACCCTAGCCCTGGTCATTACATGTTTGATGGACCTGGGGCCTGGAACATCCAGAAGATTATGATTCCCCGACCGTAGTGCCCTTGGGGGAACATGTGGGGAAAGGCGGTCCTTTAGGTAGGCTGGTCCCTGGCCATATAGGGCTTTAAAGGTAATGATCTTCCACTACCACTTCCTGAAAGCTGTTGTTAAGCTTGAGCTGTCCTCTCCCCTTCAATGGCCATTTAGTGGTTCTGCTATCAAACTGCAAAGCTTTGATGCATTAGTAATCTATTGGTTATGAATGATGATTTAATAAACATGTATCACCTAGGGCAACTGGTTGGCTGCTGTGTGAAACAGAATACTGGACTAGATGGACCATTGGTCTGATCCAGCAACTCTTCTTATGTTCATAATAATCTCAGTTTTCTATTTACAATTCTCAGGACCCTGCTGTATGACTTCTAAAAGAGCAAAAACACAAATGTTTTAGATTCTAAAAACAATAGTTTATTATTGCACTATCTAATAACTAATTGTTATACTAAATAAGGTCTGTTTCTTTTATCAGTAATCCTCTGTCATCAGGTTCAGATTGTAGGTGCTGTATTCCAGTTATTTTTCTTACCACTTTTCGAGCCCAGAAGATGTCTTTGTGCTTAGTGATTTCCAACAATCAATTTGTTTTCAAATATTTCCACAGATAATTGCAGCTCTACCTAGCTACTTCCAGCTGTTGGAGGCAGCCAATGTAAGGGGGTGTTGGTGGGGAGAGAACATAGAGGTGTTGATTTTTTAACATTCTGTTTACCTGGTGATAGAAAGAGTCAGACTTAAAATCAAGCCATATGTTTGAATCCAGACTAGCCTTTCTGTGGATGCAGCCAGTCTGAGTAGACAGTACTGGTCTTGCTGGATTCAAGGTCTGATTCAGAATAAGGCAGCTTCATATGTTCATGGTAAACCAGCAAACAAGGAAGGAGGAAATTATAGCACAGATACTATGTGAGTATGTGGCTCGATCACACAGTGCCCAGACTATGGCTTGGGGTATTCTGAACTGATTGGTTTTTAGCAGACTAGGTTCTTACTCAGAATAATCCTGCTGCAGAGTTATATTTTCAGAATATTTATGACAATGAAAACGTACCTGTACCTTGGGTTGTTTTTTACCTTTTTACAGTTGCTCTTGTGCAGTTTGTATGCATGTTTGAAAATGAAAATACAGTTTTAAATGTGCTTGTACTGAGTTTTAAAATAATTGATGGCCATGGAGGAAGACAGATCTACGTTTCAACAGCCTATATCCAACTACACAATCAAGAAAACTTAAATGTCCTTTAACTTTCTTAAGAGGGGATGATGATCTCTGCTGATTCCCTCCTCCTGCTGCAGCTCTGCCATGAGAGGGAGAAATTGCTCCCTTTTAAGAAGTGCTCGGGTTAGGCTAGCTAGCCTTCTTGCCATGTTTGTGTGGTCTGTGAACATATGCTTTGTGTCTATAGTGCATTGTTAGTCATTACCCCCTCACCTTTTCTCATAGATATATAGTCATTTAGTAATGACTTGTTAATGTTTTAACGTTATATAGTATGAGAGAGATGGGATTTAATGCAAAGCTCTCAGTCTTGATATTGAGGGCAGTTGTGCCAGTTTCATTTATTTCCCTCTTTCCATGCTTCTGTCATCTCTGCTGCTCTGAGGGATGGATAAGTGTTTTTTTTCTTTTAAAAAGAGCATGTACAGGCACTAGAGCAAAACCTTGAAATATTGATGGGCCTTTCTCTGACTTCAGTTTTACTGGACCATAGAGTGGGAGATATTGAAATAATAGTGGGAAGGGTCTGGAGGGCTTGTAAAGAAAAATGGTTCCTTGCTTTGCTCTGAGAAATAAAATCTTTGGTTCAGGCTGCAGAGAGGCCTACAGGAATCTTCCAGAGACGGTTAGGATAGTTGGAACAAAGGGACCTTGCCAGCTAAATTGTTTGCAGCTGAAGTGCTAGGGAGCACCATCTTCCCTTGGTCCTTCCAATTAGCACATTCCAGGCAATTGATGTTATGGGCACCTGTGTGGGAGTGGGCAGGACCTAGCTGCAGTATGGTTTTGTTTCTCTCCCCGTCTAGTCCATCCTTGGATGTTACATGTTTAGCAACATACAGAGAGTTACATCATCTCTCTGGTTTCTGATTGGTCTAACAGGCCTGAGGTCAATCAGAGACCGTCTTCCTAAATCTAGTTAGTCTTTGCAGAGCTGGGTGACCACTTGGCGCTGAAGCATGTCAGTGGCTGTACAGCTCCTGAATTGGCATCCCACTTGATTGCTGTTTGGAAGGGCTATGCCCTGACCATCTTGATTTGCTGTAACTAACTGCCTGCGCTGAGCCATAACGGTAGCTGGAACCTTGACTCTTATGTTTTAGCTATGCTGGAAAAGCTTAAGTTTAATTATTTTATTTCCTTCACTGTCTTGTCTTTTTTTGAATATTTTTGCACTTTAAACAAATATTTTTTATTCTGTCATGTGTTTTGCCTTCATTGACCTCAAAACCTTTATTCAGAGCCTTGGCCTTTGACCACCTACCAGCTGTTTTGTGTTTGGAAACTCAGTCTGCAGTCCCACTCTGCAGGGCTGACTTTTCTTGTTAATTTCCTGAGAAGCCGGGAGACTTGTCCTTTCCTTCCTGGGCTGTTGGGATAGACTGAAAGGACTGGTGGCACCTATCAAGACTAGGGTGAGATTTAGTCTCTCTCTGGTATTTTGTAACTTTGTTTTGCTGCAGCCTCTTTGTACCAAAAGTCCTTACCCGGGGTTGGGACAGGGACTTTTGACAGGGCTGTTTTGCATGTAGTTGCAGAGCACTGTGAATAAGTATTCAGGCTAGATAAGTAGATAGATTGTCTTCTCAAGGAAGAAGTGTGGTGATATTTAAAGCAGGGCACGAGTTGCTTTCAGAATGGTGGAGATGGGCATTGACTGAAGTGGGAGAAGATTGCAAAGTGATTTTTCAATGCACTTGTGAATTTGGCCTAAACCTCTACAGCGTATGCTTAGAATTTGCTGCTTGTCTAGAACATAGGTGAGCTTTGAGTAGTCAGTTTGGAGTAGTCTGCCTTGGTCAACTGACAGTATGCTAAGAATGCATATAAAGAATGTGGATTGCTGCCAGATTCTGCCCCCAGCTCCTCTTGGTAGAAGGCTAGATGCTGTATTGAGCATAACCTGATAAATATGCAGTCCTTACAGCATGTACATAGCCATCAGCTGTCCTCTTGATTCAGAAGACAAAGAAGACCCATTGATGTAGATAGAATTAAATGTGCACAGATACCGCATGTGGAGCAGTAGAATCAGCAAAATAACCCCCCAGTGCAGTTTTCATGCGAGAAAACTATTGGGTTAAATCTAAAAAAATCAATTCCCTTGGAAGTACAGAAACTTTATGCAGTATCCCCAATCCTCCACATTTCCCGGTTAAGGAGAAAATGCCGTTCAAATAAATTAAAAAGATGATCTGACTCCAATGGTAACAAGAGAAAAGAATTTTACCTACAAAAATAGAAGCCCATCTCACGTGACATATTCATGTAGGTACATTTAACTTAATGTGGACAGATTAACTTCAAAAAGGTTAACTTTCTACAGTTCCGAGCCCATGTAAGACACAGAAGAGAGTTCCTATATAAGATAAAACAAAAGGCAATCAACGGCCAAAGAGGCTCAACATCTAACCAATGAGAGGATGGTACCAACTGCCAAGTGTACCCCAGTGAGAGAATTCTCTTAACCCTTTCCCTCCCAGATTCTCTTGCATGCAGAGTTACAATATCCAACAAAAGCTGCTTGGAAGGAGAGGCAGGAGCCCTTCTCCCTGCAGCTTTGTCTCCTTTAAAAAAGAAGAAGAAGCAGTTCCCCACAATTGCTGTTTGGCTGTGGAGAATACCTGAAAACATGTCAAAAAAGGTAGCATAGTTTGGCTCTCAGTCACTTGTGCGCTTGTGGGCTACCCAGTGGGAACTGAATTGTCCAGCATTCAAGGGTTAATTTTGGTTTGGCACCATGGGGAGAAGGGCCTTGTTCTTCCGACATAATACTGTTTTCCTGATATAAAGCAGCCGTGGAAGAATGCTGTCTTTGGGGGATACATGTGGAGCCCCTTACAGGACAAATAGTGGTCCCCCTGGGGATGTTTCAGGACAGGAAAACAGTGCAGGAGGTGGAGACATAAGCCCCTTCTTCCTCTGGACCATTGTCCCAATCTGATTCAGGACCCTCTCAACTGAGAATTGAATTTCCACTGGGGAACTTCCAAGCACACATCTGATCACACAGACCAGCAGATGACCTTGTGGAAAATATAATGTATAGTTAAGGCCCTCATAAAGTGTTTGTTCTAGGATATGCTTGCTGCAGGGAACCTAAAGCAGATAGCAGTGGGCAGTAAAGTATTCCTTCACACATGTACATGCAAAGTGAGTAAAACGCTGGATCTTATGCAAGTAAAAAGATCAGTGACTTTTAACTTTCTTTCTCTGAGTAGAAGCATGAGTTAGCATTCTTTGTGCTTAGATTGGCAATAATGTCACACTGAATTGTAAACACCTTCTTCTAGTAATAAGATCCAGTTGCTCAGGACTCTAATCTTAGCACAAGAGAAGCTTGTGAAATCTTTCTATGAAATAGAAATTAAAATTATTTTTGCAGAAATTGCATGTTTGGTTTAAATGCTTTCTGTAAAATTTTTACACTATCACTATTACTGTTCCCTTTCTTTAGTCATTTTTCTGTTTGATAACTCCCTACCCTGAAAGTAGCTGTATGTTGCCAACAAACCAGGAGCTCCTAAGCAGCATTCTGTGAAATAATAACTGCACTCTGCACTCATACAACATATTGCACTCATGCAACAGATATTGACCAGTAGGAACTTTTTCAGATAATATATAATAGCAGAAAAACATTTGCTGCTACCGCTCCTCATTGTGATTGAATGAAATAAGTTAAATTTTAAAATTAACTTCAGTGTGAAAAGGATAAAACTGCATTGGTAGCAAGTACCCCCCCCCCCCAGTCTCTTCCACCTCAGAAAACTTGTTTTTGCTGGGTTCTGATTCCCTTTGCACAAAATTTAGTTTTGGTATTTTTCTTTTTTGTTTATATTTTAGGCAGTTAGCAGTTTTTAACTGTGAAAATTTCTTATCTTCCTCATGCATAATTTCCAGTGTTTCTTGGGCTATATTAAAGTTTCATTGTGGAGGCTTCACATTCCATTGTCATTCAGCAGCATAAGGTTAATAGCTTTTAGTTAAGTACACCTAGTGGAAGCTCAAGCATTCATTTCTGTCCTTAGTTTCAACATTTAACTTCCATCTGTTCTTCTCCCCTTTTTCTTTCATCTTCCCGTTTCCGTTTTTCCTTATGCTATGACATAAAAGTGGTTGCACTGAAAAGACTGCCCTTTTTGAGGAACAGACCGAAGGAAAAAGACAAAATGAAGGCCTTCTACCGTCGCTCCATGTGTAAGATTTTATGACAGTTCAGCTTCTTTTTAAATGGCTACACTGGCTTCCATTACTAATTTCACTAACCTTTCCCTGGACTGCGCTGCTTTTTTCCTGTTTTGCAAAGTGCAAGTCCTGCTATAATACAAGGAGCTGAAGCAATGTTTCTGAACACCTGAACACTATTTGCACATATGCAGGGAATGCACAAATTTACATTCAATAAATAGAAATTATATGTATTCAAACATATATATTTACACCCATGTATACAAAGCTGCAGTGTACTCAGTTTTTGAAATGTTGAACTCCACTTTCAGTAACCAGTTTTATAAAGCTTTAAAATGATACATTTATAGAATCTTTGGTGCAAAACCAGTGCAAAAAATAAATCCCAGCCTATTTGCCATTCCAAGTCCAGGGGAGAGGAAAACAAATATTTTTGTCAGTTCTTCTTCAATGAAATGTCCTTTTAAAAGTTGGGGGAGGGGCCACAGTGTTTGTAGCATAAATAAAAACAGCTGTCATGGGATGCAGTTATTTCAGATCCTTTCTCTAGTGTTACGCAATGTAGACAATACCTGCAGAAGCCTGCACTGAACAAGGACTTTTAATCATTGCCAACACTGGTTTTTGTATAGCATTTCTGCTCATCTTACCCTGTTCATTCCATTTTGTCATTGCAAAACATATCAGAGCTTCTAACATATATATTTATCTGCTGTATAGCACTCCAGCACAAGCATGGCGGTTGTAGCTAATAAAAAGCAATTACAAGAAGGCTTTGGCTTGTTAACACTTTTCATTCATTCAGCCAGTTGCATGCTATAACATGTATTAATTTGTGATTGTAGCTTTCAGTATGCTTTGGTGCTTAGATAAATGTGAGGCACTTACAGTGCAAAATAAAAAAATTAAAAACATTGAACCATGCTGATTCATTTGCTTTCATTTGCATCCCAGCCATGAATGACCTGGTGCAGTCCATGGTCCTAGCAGGAGGACAATGGACAGGTAGTTCTGAGCATCTGGAGGGTCCTGATGATATATCTACGGGTAAAAGGAGAAAAGAATTGGGATCTATGGCCTTCTCTACTACATCCATCAACTTTGCAACTGTCAACTCTGCTGCAGGCTTGAGATCCAAGCAGTTGCTTAATAATAAAGGTATAGGTAGAACCTTTTCACAGTGTGATGTGGTTGTGTTGGTAACAGTAGCATTGTTGGAATCTGTTCATGTTCCCATTTCACAAGCGTTTCCAGCAAAATAAACACCCTGGAATAACTGAATTAAGACCCTGTGGGTTAATTGGATGGAAAAAAGATTCAGTACTTGTAAACTTCTTTGGGTGACCATGAGATTATCTAAAGAAATAATTATAATTCCAGATAAAATGTATCATATCATTTTATAGATAAACAGTTTAAATTGTTTTTGCAACACAATTATGTTTTGTTTCCCATCCAGATGCTACATCTTTTGAAGATGTAAGTCCACAAGGAATTAGTGATGATTCTAGTACTGGATCAAGAATTCATGGTAAGATTTGCACTTCATCGGGGTGCAGAACAGAAGACTTATGACAGGAATGCTACTGAAGTTTTTCCAGAAATATTAAATAACCAGCATTGCAAGTTTGCATGTTCTTGCATCGCATCTAATTGTGTGAGATCTTTCCCATTTCTTTCATCTGGATTTCTTTCTTAACATAATCTGAGTATGAAGTGCACCTAAACAGAACTCAATTTTCTCTTTTTGTGATCTAGAATATCATAGAGTTCAATTGTGAATTAGCTTTTTATTTAAGAAACATACCTCAAAATGCATCTGATGTATTTTTGTATCAAAATTTAATGTAATTATACAAATACTTAAAGCTACAATAAAATTTTCATTAAAATAAATTGCTATAAATACTTATAAACAGATCTGATGCAAGTAGTGTAATGTTTTAAAGCATCTAAACACTGCCTTTATGTTTGTGTCAGTTGGGAGTACAGGACATTAACTGTGTAGGTGCTCTTGCTCCTCCTGTTGGTGGCATTTCTGCAATGTGCAGAATTCCATTTCAAATCTGTTGTAAGTGCCTTAATCGCAACTAGTTCTCTGCATGTTTGCCAGCTATTCCTTTTGAAATCCTATATTTTTCCAGCAGTAAACCAGTTCTGATTCTAAACATGCTTCTCCCCCCCCCCCCATTCTTTAGTACCTTATTCTTCCTATCGCATTGTGTTCAGTAGTGTCATCTTGAGCTGACTGGAAATAGCTTTTTTCACCTTTAGGGAACCACACTTTTAACAGTGTGTATGCTGAGCTTGCGCAAGACCAGTAGTGCATGATTTTCTGCCTCAGAGCATTCTGTGATCAGAATGTACCAGGCACAGTGCCATCTGCTATGGGTATGTGCTTCATGCTGTCTACTGATTTTTTTCATCTAGCTTCGAGACCAGCCAGCCTTGATAGTGGCAGAACATCCACTAGCAATAGCAATAATAATGCCTCACTCCATGAAGTCAAAGGTATGCTTCTAGGCAAATTGACACATGTGCTTCATCTCCATGTGTTTTGGGAGGGAGAAAAACAACTCATGGCATGTGGGATTTCTTTTCCTTTGATCGTTTTGACACATTTCATTCCTTTTAAATGAGACTTTGATGTAGGATGGCCTCTGAGTCTGAATAAATTCATATTATGAAAGAAAATGAATACTGATTACAAATCTTCATATATCTCCATGTGCAACTCTGCTTTGTCTGGATAGACCATTATGCCAGTACAACATCACTACCCATGACGTTGCAGCAGTATTAGGAGGATGCAGTCTGGTGCTGAATGATGATCTTTCAGTTAAGAAGTTAATCAGAGTGATAGTTTATTCCTGTGCTAAAAATATGCTTCCAAAAACTTGGTTGGGTCCTGTCCAAATTGGCAATTTCCATCAATTCCCCTGCTGCAGATGTGCCCCTCCCCCTTGTTTGTTTGGGTACTTTATCCCCTAGGAGCAGCATTCTGGGGGGAGGGGGGGAGCAGCAAAGTTCTGTACTCTGGATAGAAAATCCAACCCAGGAACTGGAACAAAGTCAGCATAGCCTTTAATTTTCATCAAGAGGCATTTGGCAGAATGGGAGACATGAAGACGATGAATGATGGGCATCAGGAAAACCTGTGATGTAGATGTGGGAAGCAGGTGGAATAAGAGAGTCTAGAAGCAGTGAATGTAGCATGGAGCAGAGAACTGACGGTTGGACTGCTTGGGAGTGGCAGAGGTAAGGAAGCTTGCAGTCACAGAAACAGTGCAGGTGTAAAGGACCCATATCTCCTTATACACACACTCACTGCAGCCAACAGCTGCTATTTACACTTTTTAAAATATATGATCAATTGATGAATCTTCTGGTGGCATTTTGAGTGGTACCTCAGAGTAATTAGTGGAGCAGCTAGTATGTCATACTTGATGTGGATTAGGTAATGGGAGAAGGCGTGTCAGTCAACCAGGAAGGAAAAGGAAGATGAATATAGCTATGATTAATAGTAGCTATTGACTGAGGCAAACAGGAGAAAGACAAAACGGAAGTAGAAGTAGGAGTGTTATAGGAGCCAGTAAAGAAAATTTTGCAGGTTTCCGGTTTTGGCGATCGCCATGGCAGTAGTCTCCCAGACCTCCGGGAGAAGCCTACCAGCACCCACGGCTGGGAGGGGGCACAATTGTCCGCGCCACCCCAGCCATGGGGCGCTAGAGAGCTCCCCCCCCCAGCGAGAAAAGCCGGCGAGGGGGGGCTACTCCAAGTCCCAACTGTCCCACCATGGAGCGTCCCGTATGGGAACAAAATCAGCACACTGGAGCAAGCGTTTGGTGATCAAGCGATACTAGAAATGTTGATGAAGCACTTATGTTTAATTAGATAGATGATCATTTTCAACTAAAGTTAACTTGTGTTTAAGTTTAAAGGTAAATGTGTAAACGTATGTATGTTCACCATCTCTTGGGTTTTTAGAGGGTTTTCTTTACTTTCTCCCATAGATGTACTTTCCTGGATTTTTGGTTTGTAGTTTTTAGTATGTAGTTATTAGAAAATGCAATAAAAACATCTACGGGGGGTACAAAAAAGAAAGGAAAAGAAAAATTTACAGAAAACGAGGGATGGGAAGGAAAGACAGAGAAGGTAGAATCTGAAATGAAAATCGGATGGATGAGAAAGGGAGAGAATGTGGGGTGAAAGACATGAAGGTAGCAAAGTGAACAGTGGTACATAGAAGAAAAATGAAAGTAAAAATGTTGCACGAGAAGCAGAAGAACGTGCAAAAATTGGGGAGACTAACAATATACACAAAGTTCTAGACTAAATATTTTATTCTCCCAGCTTCAAACTTACAGCTTCAAACTTTTTGTAATATGTCATAAATAAAAGCAAAAGTCAACATTCTTTCTGTAGTTTTGCTGAAGTGAGGCATAAAGATCTCTTATCTATTGAGTGTCCTGGAATCTAATACTTTTGAGAGAGGTTAAAAATGAAGGATGTTATTTTTATATTTAAAAAATGAAATGTCACATTGAAGAGCCATAACAGGTAAGTCAAGGGAATGAAACTGTATATCATGTGACATCCCAGTGGGTAGAAAAGCATCCAAACAATACCAAAGATGCCTCATGTATCATTCAGAATGTGCTTGTTAAAGTGTTTTTATTTATTTACCCAATGTAATAAAGCTGTCAATGCTATTTACTCCAAAAAGCAGGTGCAGTCAATAATCAAAGCAGGCCACAAAGCCACAGCAGTGGAGAATTTAGCCTGCTTCATGATCATGAAGCATGGTCCAGCAGCAGCAGCAGTCCTGTCCAGTATTTGAAAAGCCACACGAGGTCTAGTCCTATACTCCATCATAAAATGTCAGAAAAACTGGACAGACAAGGAACCTGGAGAGTTAAGACCGACTCCCCTGGGAGTGAAGTGGTTACCCTGCAACAGTTTTTGGAAGAAAGTAATAAGGATATTTCAACTGAGGTAAGCTGAAAAGTTACCTAAGTTTAGGAAGCAAAACATAAAGCTGTACAGATTGAGCTGTTCTGTGCAAGATGTTAGACAAAAACCTGATAATTCAGATTTTAAAACAAAAATTCAGAATTGGTCAAGAAACTTGGGAGCAAAATAATTAACACTGGAGAGGAATTAAGCAAGCCAAGACAAATCAACATACATGAATTTATTCTGTTATTAATTTTTGGAAGCAGTGATTCTCCAGTGATAAGGATGGGACAGTCTCATTATATAAACCGCTGGCAAGGTTGCAGCTGACCCCATGATAGTGGCTTCCCTGAGAATCCCAGTGTGGAGGAGTATTACCACAGTGCACTCTTTCTCTTTTGAGTAAGTTCAGAAATAAAGATGGGAAACCATGATTTTTTGTCTCTCTCTCTTCCCTCCCCCTTGAGTGGGGTCAGAAATAAAGAAGGAAAACTTATTTTTTTTGTTAAAAAATGTTGACACAATCAGGCTTTAGGACTTCATAAGATACTTCTGGGTTCACTGTCCAATCGCTTGTTTCCTCTGAGAACCCTATTCTTTCTGGACCAACTACAGACTCAGAGTCAGCCCACTTACCTGACCTGTCCAGAGATAATATGCAGCAAAATCTCCTGGGCTGGTAAAAGTGGTAAAAGAAGTTAGAACCTCCATTTCCTCAGCTCTCTTGGAACTATTGAGGGTGAATTCTTTGTTTTTCCCCCAGTTCAGAGGGACATAAGTAGCTCAGGAAATATAAGTACAAGTCAAAGAATATAAGCTGTACCAGCACTAGATCTGAGGGCCCCCTTATGTTCTTATGTCACTTTTTAAAGAACCTGACAGGAGTCTCCAAAGGGGCAAGTAACTGTTCTCCCCTGAGGCGGAGGCCATCTTGTGGGTGATTCCCATCCTTCTTCAGGGAGGTAGGACTAAGTTCAAAACTTCTTCCTGTTTCCTTTGGTGGGAGTCACCCTGGCTCAGTTCTTTTCCTGCCTCAGTAGGGAGAGCAGCGTAGGATTAGCTCTGCTAACACCTTATCTTTACTATTCAACATCTGATATCTAGAAACTACTTATTTTCTTCTCCACTTATTCTACTAATTCATCTATCTAAAAAAAATAAAAGTCTTCTCTTCTATCTCTGTCTCTCTTTCTTACTTGCCTTCCACCGGGCAGCACTGCAAACAGCCCTAGGCAAGAAGGAAACTCTGTCTTCTTAGACAATATGACACACAGAGGAGAGAATGACGGCTTCCTCTCGGCTCCAGAGTCGGAACCCGGCGGGCAAACGCACACCAGCCGAAGCACCAAGAAGAGGAACGCTCCCTTACCCGGAGCCGAGCGAGAAAATGGCGGGGAGGCCAAGCGCGCCAAAACGGCTGTGCAAGCATCCACTGAGCCCATTCCGGTAGCGGCGGCCATTTTAGGGCCCGATAACCGCATTTGTATACAAGACGGGGATGGCTGCCAATGCCCAAACCCGCAACCCGAGCACCCCGGACCTTCAAATTTTGCCGGGATTTCGCAAAACCTCTCTCGATGCCACGAACCGGAGTTTCTGGACGAGGGGACGGCGGGCTGCAGCAGTGGTAACGTTATGCACGAGTACCCCCCCCCATCTCTCCAGACGCTATGGCCTTTTTCCGGAAGGCAATGAGGGAGGAGATAGCTAACTTTTACAGTACGGGAGGTCACAGCCATCTCCATTATCCCCGCGCTCCCAGATCTCCTCCATCTCGCTCCCCCCCCCTCTCGCCAACCTAAAGGCCCAGGGAAATGGCCCACAAAGGCCTCTAGAAGGAGGTTCCCTCAAGGTCCAAAAGAGAGCCTACATTACTTGGATAAAATAAGAACCTAGGGGAGCAGGAGGGAGAAGAGGATGAGCTTATCCTTTCCCAAACGGAGAGCGAGAGAGAGGAGGGGGAATTTTCTTCCAATGCAGAAGATGAGGGAGCACCCTCTGAAAAGACTCCCATCACTAAGGAAAAGTCTTTCCGTTTTTTCAAGCCTGAGGATCTCCAATATCTGCTGACTAAAACCTTGTCTGCCTTAAAAATACAATCCCTTTCAAAAACAGGGAATAATTCCCAAAATACCCAAGAGCAGATTGAGACCTCAGATATTACTGACGAAATGTTTTCCCCTGAGGATTACTCAGAGTCTGCATTTCCTTTCCCAGATTTTTATATGAGGAAAATCAAAGCTGAATGGGCTAAACCATTATCCAGCAAACCAGTTCTAGGGGCTATTAGGAGACTGTATCCTTCTGTCTCAGATTTATTACAGACTCCACTCGTGGACGCACCAGTGGCGGCCTTACAATCTTCCGGCCTTCTATCTGAAGATGGACACGGTATGTTAAAGAACAACCTAGATAAAAGAACAGACCATGCTCTAAAGAGGGCACACAAAGCTATTGCACTAACCATTAAGGCTTCAGCGGCCGCATCCACTGTTTCCAGGGCATCCATAGTTTGGATGCGGAAACTAATACAGTTACTCCCTGAAAATAATCCTAAATTGATGGAGGGAGCAAATAGAGTACTTCAGGCCCTCTCTTACACGGCAGATGCTACAGTGGATACAATGGTCTTCGCCTCAAGAGCAATGGCATCTTCCGCTGTAGCCAGACGAACCGTTTGGCTGAGGTCCTGATCTATAGTTTCTGCCTACCCCTTCCAAGGGGATAAGCTCTTCGGGGACTCCTTAGATAAGATCTTAGTGGAGACCCGAGACAAAAAGAAGGCACTGCCTAAATCTGTCCGTCCTGGAGACAGAAGGTCACAAGCCTCTTCCTCCTTTCATCCCTATAATTACGCCCCAAAATTTAGACAAGATTACAGAAGACAGCCCTGGCCAAACAACAAACAGTCCTTTCGGCGGGGGGGCTCTAATTCCAACAGATTCCCTAGATCCTCTGGTGGTAGACAAGAAAAGGGAGTAGGCTCCCAAAACAATAAGGCATGACTCCCAAAACCCTCCGGTGGGAGGAAGACTTCTTCACTTCAAACAAGTCTGGATTTCCTCCCACCCAGACGCATGGATACAGGAGGTTGTCTCAGAAGGGTACAAAATAGAATTTCGTACTCTACCTCCCGCACGCCTCCAGAACTCCCCTGCTCACAAGAGCAAGAAAAAAAGACAACGAACCATGGAAGCGTTAAATCACCTACTACACATTCAGGCAATAGAACCTGTACCCACGTCAGATATAGGAAAAGGGGTGTACTCAATTTTCTTCACAGTTCTCAAAAAGAACGGGGACTGCAGGGCTATCCTAGATTTAAAGTACGTGAACAAATACGTAGAATTGAGACATTTCCGTATGGAAACCCTGAGATCCATCATGGAAGCCCTCAAGCCTGGGGAATACCTCTCTTCCATAGATCTGACGGAAGCATATCTTCATGTCCCAATCGCCCATCAACACCGTCAGTTTCTACGCTTCTGTATCGGGGAGAGTCACTTCCAGTTCAGGGCCTTCCCTTCGGCCTTTCCTCAGCCCCTCGAGTGTTTTCCAAGATCTTAGTGCATCCCATAGTATGCCTGAGAGAGAGGGGCATCCATGTCCATCCATATTTGGACGACATTTTGATCCGATCATCAACAAAGGATCAGTCAAAAAAGGACACCTCAGAGACTATACAGTGCCTTCAGACCTTCGGGCTAGTAATCAACATGACAAAGAGTTCTTTAATCCCAACTCAGAGACTTGTTCATTTGGGAATGGTACTCAATACCTTAAATACCAAGATCTATCTTCCCAGAGACAAAGCGAAGAAGATCAAGACACTGACTTCCCAGGTTCTCCAAGCCAGGGTTTCTCCCCTATCAACCCTGACACGACTGGGGGGGGCTGATGGTTGCTGCATTCGATGCCCTCCAGTGGAGCAGGTTTCATTCCAGGCAATTGTAACATCTACTTCGACCCTATCAGCATTCCATTGCCCTTCGCATGGACTTTCCTCTGAGAGTACCACTACAAGTGAAAGCAAGCCTCCGCTGGTGGACCAACATTTCCAACCTCACGCAAGGCAGATCCTTCTGGAAATCGGATCAGATTCAACTCTTCACAGACGTCAGCCTATACGGATGGGGTGCGACCTTACAACGGCATCCCATTTAGGGCACATGGTCATCCACAGAGAAAGAGCTCCCGATAAATCTCCTGGAACTATGAGCCATTCGATTGGCCCTACAGCACTTCTCATCTCAGGTAACGGACCGACATGTATTAGTAAGGACAGACAACATGTCGGCCCTGGCTTACCTAAACAAACAGGGAGGATTCACCTCTTTGACCCTGCAACGAGAAGCGAATCTCCTCCTGAACTGGGCAGAACACAGGTTGCTATCAATCCATGCGGAACACATAAGGGGAGTGTCCAACACACAAGCAGACTGGCTGAGTCGTCAGGCGATTCAAGAAGCAGAATGGTCTCTGAACAAGAGTGTATTTTCCCTGATTGTGGCGACTCTAGGTCAACCCAAGGTAGATCTATTTGCCTCTCACTCCAACCACCAGCTGGAGAGGTTCTACACCAGATTTTTTCATCCCTCAGCGGAAGCCACGAATGCGCTACTGTCACCATGGCCAGCGGAACTACTTTACGCGTTCCCTCCCCTGCCAATTTTACCCCGACTCCTTCGGAGGATCCGTATACTCCAAGCGGAAGTAATAGTGGTGGCACCTTATTGGCCATGGAGACCCTGGTTCACGTCTCTACAAGAACTGGCGGTCTCTCCACCTCTATTTCTTCCAATATCTGAGAACATGCTAATACAAGGCCCAATCAGCCACCCAAATCCGGCCTGGTACTGCTTGACCACGTGGAAGTTGAGCGGAGCAAACTTCAGAAATTAGGCTACAGTCCTTCAGTAATTAAAACGATACTAGACTCTCGTAAACAGTCCACTTCCCGTATATATAATGTCATGTGGAAGGCATTCGTACGATGGGCCAAAAGGAAGAAGGTTAACCCTCTTCAACCAAAAATCAGG